AAACTCGAATTGAGCAAGAAGAGCGAACGAACATTCCCGTTCGCTACACGTCATTCGCCCTATTCATCGGTTGAACGGCGGCGGCGCAACATCTCTTGCAACTAGTTTCGATTTTACTAATTATTGTCCGGACCTTTGATTCCTTGTGCTTGAAAGTTAATTGCGGTGGTCCCACTAATAAAGCAGTGCTGATTCGGCCGGCTGTGCAAGGAAGGAAGGCGACTCGTCAACGACGGTTGAAGGCGAGTGCTCTTTGATCCACAAGACTATTCGAGACCCAGACGAAAATCCAGACCACCTCCGCTGTCTATCGAAGGTCACCACAACATGCAGTAAACTTTCAAGTATTGGTTTAAAGCAGGGGTGAGCAACCTTTTTAATCAATGGGCCAATTTAAATTTAATTTTTTTTTGGCGGGCCGCACATAATAATTTACGAAACTTTATTTTATAATAAATATTAGAATAAAAAATATTTCATTAAAAAAAAAGTAAAGATTTCATATACAAATTTTAATGCAAGGTAAAAACAAACAAGAAAAGAACAGAAAAACGAACAAAAAATATTTCGGTTCAGTATGTACTCCCATTTTATTATAATTAATTTCATAATAATATATAGATGGGACAAATTTGATAAAATAAATTCAATTTTAGAAATGCTTGACGGGCCGCATAAACATGTTTAACGGGCCGCAAGCTGCCCGCGGGCCGCGCGTTGCTCATCCTTGGTTTAAAGAAGCGCAAAAGATTAATAGATGTGATCCTATACATTTAAATATAAAAAAAAAGTGTAACATCTTTTTATTTATTTTGATAAGCAGTATACATTGATAACACTAAAAGTAAAAATATCACAATCCATTAAGTTAACAGTTAATGTATGCATTAGACAGCGTGTCGTTACCATCGCGACAATAAATGAACACACGTCTAACGATACTTGCCAATAATCATAAAAAAATAGTAACGTTAAACAAAATACATAATTAAAAAAAATATATTTTTCAAACTAATTAACAAAGTAAAAAGGAAACAAAATTTGTAACATCCTATACAACTCGCGCCACAGGGTCGATTACAAGCCTCCTATTCTAAAAGTATGTTTTGTCTCTTTTAAATTCATTCAACCCGAATGGGTTGAATGATATGCTTTGTGACCTTTACAAATGAACTTTACGTTACAGTTTTATAGGTAAGGGTGTTCTAAAATTCTTTGTTTTGGAAAATTTAATACCTCTGTAAATATTGATGTTTAAAGTATGTAAATGTTTAATTCAATTTTAAAAATGTATCCCTTGTATGTGTTCATTTATTGTCGCGATTGTAAAGACACGCTGTATACAGATGTACTTTTGGTACATGTTCCATGACCTCATCTCCTAATAAATGTTTAAATCAGACAAAACACCTTATCCATAACAAGCATTAGTAAATGAATCTACTTTTACAGATTTATTGTTTACATTTTAATGTATTACATTCCTTGTAGAATTATATAAATTCATAAAAATAGTTTCGTTTAATGTTTTTTTTAATATAATAAATTATTACATAACACTAACTGTTAAAATCAACTTATGTCTACAATTTAAACTTGCTGTTCTAATAGCCCACTTGCTATGGCTCTACTATGACTTTATTTGATAAAAGACAATTGATTTTTCATTCTTGTTACTTATTATTCCAAATGATTTTTCTGTTTTTATATTTATTGCCCAAGGAAACTGGTGGGAAATATTTTACAAGATTATATTACGAAGCATTCAAAGCAGAATGTTTCTTCTAACATTTACAATTGCAAATTAACCAATCAATACTGATTTTAATGCAAATATGTTTTGGTCAAAATAAATATATAAATAAACATTTATTTACACATAATTATGTTATCAGCATATTTATGTAAATGTAAATTTCATATTAATATCTATCTTATAACTAGTAGATTTACTTAATTTCTATTGTGCTTCTATTAAAATGCAACCAGATAGTGCTGGGTAGAAAACCGAAATATTTCTAATAATTTGGAATAAAGAAATATATTAAAATAATACTAACAAGGGCAGCCATAAGGGCAGTCATATGTAAAAATAATTAAAGATATTTTTAATCAATGAGCTCAATGTAACAAAATAAGTAAAAATTTGTTAAGTATCTTAATAATTATGACAGTCATTGTATTAAGAATAGGGATATGCAGAATTATAAAGGCCAAAACACAACACAATATTAAATGTGGACTTAATTAACAGTCTTTTAGGGTAAAAGTGTTATTACACAAGTACTATAATAGTTATTGTATTTGTTAGTCTTAAATGCTTTACAAAAATATAAACAACCTAAATGTGAGGGTGTAAAATGGTCTACATAAGTAACTAAAACAAAATTGTAGTCATCTCAAACCTTGTAAAAAAATCAACAATAATCTCTAGGGTTTATATTCATACTTTTGATCTTAAAATAATAATTATTTTGCACATACAATGACTAGAAAGAAATTTTATGACTAGAAAGGAATTTTGTGACTAGAATTTAAAAAGAAAATATTTTTATTTGAGAGATTTTGAACAGTATGATATGGTATCTCATACCATAATAATACTAATATGTGGTCTTGGTGGAATAAAGTGATTATAACAATTATTGTGCTAACACCCCAAGCTTTTTCCTCAATTTAGAGTCTGCTGGTAGCCCTAGAGCCCATTTACGTAAACCTACAAGCATCACTGAGCTCAATACAAGAATGGCCCCAAAAACTGAATATTTGCTCGGTATTTCATTAAAAAACATTATTTGCCACAAAAATGCAAACACTATGTCTGCAGAACGTGCAATAGCAACAGGTCCTGCCTGTTCCATTTGCAAAGACATGGTAAGCAAAATTTGACCTAAATAACTAAACAATGCAAGACATACAACAAGAAATCTCTCCGTCCCACAGTTTGGCATGCATAATATGCCAAACATTATGGAGTAGAATAATGTTTGCAAAATTGCAATAGCACCAAAATTTGTCATGATTACAGAAAAGTGTAATCCTTTAAGAACTCGTAAAAGTACATATGCATTGGCTCCAAATATTGTTGAAATGAATGCAGCCACTGCTCCCACCAGGCTACTATAGTTAGTATTCTTTTCAGTTTTATCACTGCCAAAGAATATAGGTGGATGTGTTATAAGTATCACACCAACAAGAGTCAAGATTATTGATATAGTATTCCAGATACCGCAAGGCTCCTTCAAAAATACCCGAGCAAACAGTGCAACAAACACAGGGACTGAGAATACTATAACTGAAGCATCAGCTAAGGGCATGTGTCGAAAAGCATAAAAACTTAACATAAGACCTACAGTACCAACCACAGAGCGTAGAGCGAGTAACATTCGTTTCCCCTCAGGGAATACAGGTTGTTCGGTGTATATAACAATTGGTATTGTAGGAAGCAGTACACCTATAAAACGAAACATCGCTAGTTGTGTTGGATCAATATTTACCAGGCTCTTAACTATTACAGAGCATAGAGAAAAAAATAGGGACGACAGCGTTGCAAGCAATAATCCAAGATAAGGACATCTCTTTATAAGTGGCCGTTTGTTTTCCATCAGGTTTGGAATAGTTTCGTCTCCGCTCCCAGTTGACAGTTCAACTAAATGTTGAAGTTCCAAATGCTCTGGCATGCTGGTGATAATCTGTACCTAAAACCGCACCCAACGTGTTTAATTACATAAAATATTTAGAGAATGAATCGCATATTGTAATTTGATAAATACCGTTGTTCCAACTTTGCAAATTTAAAGTGACGTAAATATATAAGTAACTGGTATTTTTAAAGCTGAAAAGCCATGGTAAATAAATTGTTTTATATATTTTACTTAGGTATTTTATAATTTACGCCCACAAGAATATTAAGTATTAACGTTGCGACTTCGCGATTGCGAGTATCAAAAGAAACGTCAGACATCCCCACAGATGAAATAATACATGGTTTTTTTCGTAGACTGTTTTAAAAACGCAGGACACTATTTGGTTTTATGAGTTTTTGATGTTTCTAAGAAAAAAATTGGGCAGATAATGTAAAAAAAGAAATAAAAAAGGCCTCAACGTTTTAGTGAAAAATAATGGAAGAACCGTAAAAGTATGATCAACTATGATCACTATTGTTTCCATGCTTCCTCTACCTGTCTCTTTTTTGATAGTGACAATGTGCTAAATGAAGAAAGAGAAAAAGCAAGTGCACGCGCTTTTTAAAAGTTCACATGTAATTAATTATCTGATTACGAATGTTAATTACAAAACTATATATTATATATCATTACATTAAAGATAGAATATATAAAATGTGTTTTAATAATATTCATAATGTTTAATAATTATCTTCCCAATTTGTGAGAGATCAAATCCTACCAGTTGTCTCTTTCACTCTCATGTTAAGTATCGCTAAAAGAGGGAGATGACACGTCCAGTATATCACAAAGTTTTTCACGCCCCATAGAAAGTACATCAATATGTTATGTCAGCATTTCTATTTAAAATTATTCTTCTTTGATCTTTGAAATCTGTATTAAATTCATACTAAATTCAACTTCCTACGAACATTCTCCCTATTGCGGCAATCTCGTTCGTCTCCCCACCCATGTTTGTTATTCAATACTCATGGACCTGTATATGTCTGTCTCACTTATTTTAAGTCATCTGGAGGTTCGTGCGTATTGTGATAAATTGTGTTTTAATAGTTTGTCCTTATTGCTATAGTGATTCAAATAATATCTTAGAACTTAATATTGAGAATAAAAGTGGACTTTTTTGTAAAAACGAACTTTTGTTACTGTGCTAAATTCTGTCGTACAACAAGGACGCAAAGAACTCGATAGCTGCACCTCAAAATGGCTGCTGTTAATAAATCTCTTCCTTTAAATTTGGATAAAGTATGTCGAGCATGTTTACAAATTAAAAAAGACATGCGACCCTTATTCGAACAACTCACTGCTACAATGTTAATGGGAATATCCAAAGTGCAGGTGAGATGACACTCAAAAATTTTTATATTTTGTGAAATTTATTGTTGTCCCTCTCGCACTCGTTAGACAGCTTATTCTCTTTATCAACGACGGACGTATTCCTATCGCGCCATCTTTGTTTAGAAGTTATCGGACGGCAGGCCAATTTTAGGATTCTGGGGCATTGCGTATTCTCGGAATTTAATTGAGAAATATGTTGCTATCCTTTTCTGTTCATGATATAAGCCCGTGAGATGAAAGTGATTGAGCATGATGATGATTTCAAGTTTTCAAGCCATGTAAATCCTTTACTGTTGTATATGACGTCAAGTGTATATTTGTATGACCATAATATTATTAAATATTAATTATTTAATATGCATCTGTTAAGAAGAGCTCTTTTGGACTGAAATTTTTTCATAAATAATTACCAAACTTAATTAATTTCTTCAGAATCGGGAAATGTAACTTTTGCAAATCTAAAGAAAAGTGAATAATTTTAATATCTGTATCATCCGCGATTGTTCATTTTTTTAAGCAACGAATCTTTTGGCTACTATTTGTAAAAAATGATGTATGTATGCTCTCACGAATATTTGTTTGTATAAATTTCTTTACATAATATCACGTTGTCACAAATGAAATGTTAATTATTTAATTTAATAATTAATTGAATAAATAGAATGGATAAATGGCTGTGGGACAATCGAATACTTGAGCCATATATTGACACAGCAGACACATTCTCTGTGATAAGGCCGTTAAGCCATGCAGCTACTTTTATTGTTGCATGAATGAGGGGCTAGTCGACTAGGTACATTGGGTTAATATCACAGATTCATATAAGTCCAGTGTAGAGTTGAATTATTTTTATACTAGTCAGTTATTTCAAGAACTATGCTTTTTAAAATAGCCACCGCAATTTAAATTCAATTGGGTTCTAGGATGTCCATTGTTTTTTTATGTGACACGAGTGGCAAACGAGCTGGCGGTTCACCTGATGTTAAGTTATAACCGCCGCCCGTGGACATAGCAACACCCGTAGGGTTGCAGAATCGTTACCGCATTTTAATAAAGTGGGCCCGGGCTACCTCATTCACCAGACGAAACGGAGAAGTGTAACACTTCTACCATTGGCGACCTGCTAGCATCCTGTGAACTCTCAAATATATGCTTGATCAGCTCTACACCAGCACCGGTTGCAGAAGGACCCCTGTCGTTTCATCATGTCAGTTTCAATCCTGTTGAGCATTGCCGAGGGTTTTCTAGGCATTCGGTCGCCTGTCTGGCATCAACTTCCCTTGGGGGAAAAACACTCGAGATCCGGAACAGTTCATCTGTTGGTCACACAAATACTTGTAGTTATACTATTTTATACTAGTTATTTCCATAGCATAATGTCATATTGCTTTTTTCTACGGGGGAATGCAGCCCCATAGAAACACAAATTCGAATTTTCGAAAACATCTCTGCGAGAGAAATTTTAATAAATATTTATTTTAACCTTGGCCTCACAATGTTATGTTATATAAAAATGTAATGTAGGTACGTATAAGCATCAATAATTTTAATAAGAATACTGATGTATATAATGTTAATACTAAGAACAAAAACAAGCTTGTAACGCCAGTTAATAGACTATGTAGAAACTCGTTCATGGGTTGGTGTATACGCTTCTACAACAATATCCCAATAAATGTGCAAAGCCTGTCAATTAACAGGTTTAAGAAATTAAAGAAAAAATGTATAACAAGGGTTATTGTAATATAAATATTTTAATTATAAATATCCCTCGCAGGGAATGAGTACATCGCAACCAAGCCATTTCTAAAAAAATGTATAAAAATATAAATGCATAGGTATATGCATGAATGTGTACCTACGAAGTTTTTTCTTTTCGCCTGTTTCTTCCCCTTTATATTATTACGAAATAGTGATGAAATAATTTTTAACAAAAAAAACCGACTTCAGTCGGAAAATTAAAAACATTGTTAATACCCATAACATTGATGGCTCTCGATTTCTCTGGGATGCCAAAATCAGATCCGGATTTCCTTATCATGGTTTCCTTATCACCCTTCGGATATCTCTCATCTAAAAATAGAATCATCAAAATCGGTTCATAAACGACGAACTTATCCACGAGCATACATAAAAAAAATATATACACGGTCGAATTGAGAAACCTCCTTTTTTGAAGTTGGTTAATAAAAAAGAATACTAATCGATAAACGAAATATATGTTTCTTTTTTAGATTAATAAATGATTTAGATTTTTGGGATTCACATGTTGTGTCGAATCCACCTAACCTGTGATAAGATCAGGAGAAAGAAGAATAAGCTACATGGGTGGCATATTTCACTTGCGTCAACTATTAACTCTGGAGATATTGGGCTCGGCACGAAAAGGACAGAGCATATCCCTATATCTCTCTTTTTAACCTGTTGGATGTAGACCTACGAGATCATTCCAGGTGGCGGTTGGCGACGGTCTGCCTGCGCAACTGTGCCTGCAATGCTTGCACCAGGTATCGAGGTGTCATGCCTTCAAAGAGATGGTGGAGCGGAATGACGTCACGCTTCGCGATCAAGCCAAAGCCGCCGCCGAGAAAGCCCTGAAGAACGAAGTAAGGCTTTTACATAATTATTGTTAATGTGCTGAACAAATACACAATGCAGTCCTTCCAGATTAATGCCTGTAAGGATGTTTTCTCAATTTTGAAGGTGTTACTCACGAGTTGGCACCTTCACTACTGAGCGCATTGTAAGTCGGCGCTTAAAATTGTTTAAAACTAACCGCGGTTGCTTGAGTACGACAAATTTTATGTTAGCTTAGTTGTATGACTTATAGCACCTTTAATAATAAGGAAGTCACCAAATAATAATTTGATTCTTAGTTATTCATCCTTAGATGACGTAACGTCATGTAACTTTTGTCTTTTCAAGGAGACCACACTGACTATAAGCTGCACGGACCAGTCTCAATACATCCAGTACATCGAGGTGCCGCTGTTGAACAGCAACAATCAGATATTGGACGGCTTCTTCACGACTGGGACGGAGCAGACGCAGAGCAGCGAACAGGAGACAATGCAGAAGGAAGGCTTCGAAATAGAGAAGGTCCCGCTCGCTGTAACACATCACTATATAGAATAAATAAAAGTCGTTCCGCCGTGTCTGTCCTTATGTATGCTTAGATCTTTAAAGATCTAAGATAATATAGATACATAAGCAAAAAAAGCTTAGCTTTAAAGCTACGTAACGGATCTTGATGCGTTTTTTTTACTAGATAGAGTGATTCAAGAGGAAGGTTTATATGTATAATACATTGCACCAGTGCGAAGCGGGGGTGGGTCGCCAGATCTATATAATACCTACCTATTGGCAATTTACCTGCACTCTCTTTCAGCCTCCACGTCTTCCTACTTCTATATTCACGTGTTATTTCTTTGAGAATTACGTATCCTTCTCGACGAATCCTTAATGTACTTGTTTTACGGTTAACTATTAAGTTGACCGTAAAACGAGTTTTAATCCATACTTCCATTCTATAGTATTATAAATGCGAAAGTAACTCTGTCTGTCTGTCTCGCTTTCACTCCAAAACTACTGAACCGATTTAAATTAAATTTTGTACACAGATAGTCTAGGGCCGAGAAAGGAAATAGGCTATTTTTTAATTGGAAAAAAGTGTTGTAAAGCTTTGAAACATATTTATTTAAGGGCTTCAACGCGAGCGAAGCCGCGGGCGAAAAGCTAGTTGTAAATAAATAAATTAAATTTAAATATTTTTTAATTGTATGATAATAAAATACAAATAAAAAATGAAATGATGTAAAAAAACATGTACCAAAATTACCTTAGACGCCATCTTTAGTGTATACCGTTGTGCCTCGATGTCTTAAAAGAGTGCTGGAGAATTTCTAACAATCCTTAGAACCGTGTTTATTTTATGTCAGAGGTTGTCAAGCAAGCATGCAGGTTAATGTGATGTTAAGTGAATACTGTCGCCTTTGGACATCTACAACACCTGAGGGCTTGTAGTTATGTTGATAACCTTTAAAAAAGTGGGCATAATACTTCCACTTGACGCAGTTCTTATTATATGATTTTGGTGACCCTTGTAGAATTCACACTCTGTTAAAATTATAGTACCCGGAGGACCGAGCTTTGCTCGGTTTGTTTTTTTTTTTGGTAAATCGTGTATTTTGGAAATTACATTTAGACATAAATTACTGAGTAATGAAATATGCATAATATTTTTCGATCTTACCGACGTAATAATAGGAAAATATGAACTGATGTTTTTCACAAAAGAAAGAGCTTTAAAAAAAGGGAAGAAAATAACAAAATAACAAATCGACAAAAAATTAAAATAAAGAAAGCAATGATCTGGAATCGAAAAAAAAGTAAAAAAATAAATGTGTAAATGATCGTGACGCGAACCACGGCCGTCTGTTTTGGGGCCGGCCGATTACCGACCGAGCTATTATGACATTTTCTCTTGCGGCGAAATTTACCGTCATATTCGAATTATATTTTTCATTCCCTGAAAACAGGGATAAAATGACATTTTCTAAAAATGAAACCTAGCTAGATCGATTTTTCGCCCCCGAATCTACGCACATACTAAATTTCATGAAAATCGCTGGAGCCGTTTCCGAGATTCCAATTATATATATATACATATATATATATATATATATATATATATATATATATATATATATATATATATATATATATATATATATACTATGTATACAGCGTGTCGTTACCATCGCGACAATAAATGAACACACGTCTAACGCTACTTGCCAATAATCATAAAAAAATATTAACGTTAAACAAAATCCATAATTAAAAAAAATATTTTTCAAACAAACTTCGTTTGTTTTGGAAAATTTAATAACCCGATAAATATTGATGTTTAAAGAATGTAAATGTTTAATACAATTTTAAAAAGTTATCCTCTATATGTGTGTTCATTTATTGTCGCGGTGGTAACGACACGCTGTATATTTTCTTATTATTTATTGTCTATATATGTTTATTATCTTTGCCTTCGCAGGATTCACAGCCGGAGCAGAACGAGCCGGCCAAAGAGGGAGCTCTGACCATGGACGAGGACAACTACATGCAGCTGGTCGTGTTCCAAGTGACGTCATCGGTGTCCCCCGGCCGCCACGTGTGCAACCTCTGCCACAAGGAGTTCAAGCACGGCCGCTGGCTGAAACTCCACATGCGCTCCCATTCAAACTGGATTAAGGCCAACTGCAAGCAGCCCCCGATGTGTCCCGTATGCAAGCGCACTTTCAAGGTGGGTCGAAAAAAAACATTTCAGAATCAACTGTATTACAAATGTATCTTCTGGACATTTACGTGCTGTTAAAAACAGCTAAATAGGTTAGCTTGACATTTGTGACGACAACAAGATAACGTTTTCTGTACATATTTACTAGCAAATAAAGAAACTTGAAACTTGAAATCTCTCTTTGACGAATGGCGAGGCGATAGAGCACGCCGGTCATGATGGTAAGTGGTGGTGCCACGCAGGTGCATCTGCTGTTGCACGAATGGGCAGGCTCGTCGGAGAAAGTGCCACGGACTCACAGTCCGGCGTTAAGCGGAAGTACTAACTAACACTATGCGTTTCGTGTGGTGACTGACTGAGCCCACATTTGTAATGGTTGTCAACGCATCGGTGGGCCCATGTGTTGTAGATTTCTATAGGCGGTGGTAATCACTTAAATCCGGTGAACCGCTTGCTCATTGGCAATTTTTCAAATTAAAAAAAATTGCTAACTGCCCATGGGCGCTAGGTCTCTAAATCGCATCGGTCCGAAAAACACCTGTGGAAAAATGTTTTCTCAGTATTGTTTTGCGTGTCAGAATCTCGGTCTTCCCTAAAAGGTTTTTAATGCAACTAGGGTTGCTACAATCGTTGTGGTCGTCAACCGCCTGTGCGTTTGCCACTTTCTCCCAAAACCTTGCAGGAATCGGTGGTGATGTTAGCCTTTATAAAAAGATTAGTTTTGCATATGGATGACGTGTCTCTACCGTTTAACGTCTTCAGATCTGACATTTGTAACAGTCCGCTTTTAAATTTTGACAACGCTGAAAGTTCCATTCTAGCTCCAAATTCGATCCATGAACAGTACCCCGACGGGGATATTGGACCTATCGGTGACTTAATTATCATAATCCCAGTCGGACCGCAGGACCTCGAAAAACAGTGCCTAATTACATTTCGACGACGCTGAATGTTCTATAGTTGCTGGAGCGGAACGCGTCGTGACGTAATCCAAATTCGATGCATGAACAGTACCCCGACGGGGGTACTGGACCTATCGGCGACGTCATTATCATAATCCCAGTCGGACCGCAGGGCCCCAAAAACAGTGCCTAGTTTACATTTGGACAACGCTGAACGTTCTATAGTTCCTGGAGCGGAACGCGTCGTGACGTAATCCAAATTCGAACGGTACCCCGACGAGAGTACTGGACCTATCGGTGACGTCATCATTATAATCCGACCCCAGGGCCCCGGGATGCTGCGCATGCACATGCGCACGCACGAGCAGCGCCCCCCCAAGCAGCCCACGTGCTCCGTCTGCCAGAGAACGTTCCAGACGAAGACGCTGCTCTACCGCCACAGGCAGACGCACTTCGAGCAGAAGACGCACCAGTGCAACGTGTGCGACAAACGCTTCTTTAGCGGCTACGCGTTGAGGTCGCATTTGGCGCGGCACAGGGGCGAGAGGCCGTACATATGCTCGATCTGCTCCAAGAGCTTCTACAACCCGACCGATTTGAAGGTGAGTGATGTCTTGCGTTATCGACGCTTCAATAATAACTTCGTAAATAGGTCGAATTGGTTTCAATTTTTTTTTGTTTATGTAGAGAAGTGCCGATTGCAGATTATATTACAAATAATTCAGTCAAAAAATAAAAAAAACCGGCCAAGTGCGAATTGAACTCGTACGCCGAAGTTCCCGTACCTACACAGTACACATAATACCGCTATAATAAAATCGATAAATAATCACCACCTGATTTTCTCAGGAACAGGGCCTAGGAAGTAGAAATTTATATCAGATATTGAGGTATACAGTCCCTATTAGGTGTATAAAAATCAAGACGATGAAAATACATCGGCAAATTTAGATTATTGCGAAAACTTGTAAGTACCAAAATTTACCTTAGTTTTCAACTTTTGCTTGCTTTGCTTTTAACCAATTGGTTTTGGGTCGAACTGGTCGAATGGTGCTTACAAGTTTTGCGAAAATCTAAATTTGCCCATATCTTTTTAACGTACTTACTCGTGAAACGATGCTACTTAACTTTTTTAATTATTAATTTCTAACGAGGTCTCTTTTACCTATCAAGGAACAATCAAAATATCTAAATTATTATTTGTAAGTCTTTTCCTCTTTTCGAATTTCAAAATTCCAACGAAGGTATGCTAGCCAGTGTCGTCATTTAGATGCGGATAATAGGACGATTGTCCATTTCATAACTAGCTATTTATCCACCTATTAGAAGTAAAAGGAAATCTTTGTTTTTCATAGTGTTTGCGCTTCTGTGTCCGTTTCTGCTTACTTATATCAGTTTGTTTCTAGTTCCGTTGTACCGTTCTAGCTTAGTTGTGTAAATTGTTGGATAAATTGATGAATCATTTAATATTGCTAATAAATTCTAATAAAACGTGTCCGCCACTAAATGCACATGTTTATCTATATGTTGTATATATTAAATGTTAAATAGCAAATGTACTAAAGTTTTTCTTGCACACCGAACTAGTTATCGTTAACCGTTGGCAAGGCGCCGCATTCCATCTTCTCGAAACTTTCCTCGTCGTCCGTCATCATTTTAAAGGCGTCGCCGAACGCCTTCTTGCAACGCTTCGAAAGGTACGAGGGGAATGTGATTTGGAAGCGTAGTATCAGGTTGCCCTTTGCCTTGCCGGGGCACGCGAGCAGGGGGAGCCCTTCGCCCTCGACCACCGTCTCGTAGGTCGGCGTGATCACGTCCGTGACCTTGACCCGCAGCACGCGCCCGTCGAGGGTCACCAGGGTCACGGTGACTCCGCACAGCGCCTGCTGCAGGCTGACCGTCTGCACGCTCAATAGGTCACTCGTCCCCGACCTCACGTAGGTCCCGTGCGGCCTGTCCTCTGTCACGAAGACCACGTCCGCGGGGATCCGCGTCGGACCCTGGTCACCCTCTTCCCTGAACCTTACCTCCGTGTTCGGATACATCCCCGGCCGTATCGGTATCGAGAGGACCTTCTCCCTCAGCCTCAGCTCCGAGCAGGTCTCGTTAGTGAACACGAGCCGCTGGATCTTCATCTTCTTGAGGCCGCCCCTGTACACCTCCTCCAGGGACAAGGCGAGCGGCCGCACTATCGTGGGGTCCTTCTCCTTGTAGCCCTTGCCTAGCGGCGAGTCGAATATCGGCTGCGGGTTCTCGTAGTAGTCCAGTAGGTCCGCGTACGGGTTGGACGTGCCGAAGAACTCGCGGAAGGTCCTCACCGGGTCGCCGTGGTACGCGTAGGGTTGAATGAACTCCGTCGGGCCGGGCACGCCGCGCTTCAGCCCCTCCTCGCCGTACTGGTCGTACACCGCCCTCCTCTTGTGGTCCACCAGCACGTCGTACGCCTCCGCTATCAGCGCGAATATCTTCTTCATGTTCTCGTCGTCTTCGTACTTTTCCGGGTTGTACTTTAGAGCGAGACGGCGATACGCCGCTTTTATCTCGTGCTGCTCGCACGATCGTTTCACGCCCAATATGTTGTAGTAGTCGAAACCCATTGTGTTTTTGATTTCTATTTGTTATTAAATAAATTGAATTGATAAATTATCGTTACAAGGTAAATGACGTAAAAATGACTGAAGTTTATAGTGACAATGTCATTATATGTTTTTTTTAAAAGTCTTCATTTCATTGCATTTCAATATTTCGGCCGAGTTATTTTTTCCGTTATATAGTCATTGTTTTATTTTCTTATTATTCACATTACTCTGGTAAACGTGAATGTAAATGTTTCGTAAGATACCGCGTACCCTTTTCACAAACAAAAACATTTAATTTGATGGACCCATCAAAACAGTTGAATTTACTCATAATGTAGTTTCATTTAATAATGTGCTACATTAGCGTACATATGAGATCAGTGGTCGCACCTAATACTTTACGTTATGTGTTATATTGGCTCTAAAATCAAATTCATTTATTCATCGACATAAGAAAAATACATTTCATTTATCGATAGTCATTTTTTTTAATCTAGCACCGTTTCGTAATGAGTTCTCCATAAGTTTACTTTTATTTTTTCGTTTAAATTCATCAAGTGCAAGAATTGATTATAACTTTTGTGTAATATGTCTTTTGTGCATATGCCATCAGGTGCACTTCAGATTGCACACGGGCGAAAAGCCGCTGAAGTGCTCCGAGTGCAACAAGACCTTCCGCCGCCACTCGACCCTTTGCCAGCACATGAAGAAGCACCGCGGCATACGGAACCACATCTGCTCCGTCTGCAGCAAGGGATTCTACGAGGTGTCCAAGCTCAACGCCCACATGCGGGTCCACACGGGTGAGTTACGTTATATTATGATACGTGCCGAAAATGTTGACTTTTTTATTTACCTTCAAAATTCTTATGGCATCTTTTTAAATATATTATGTCCCATAGGGTACACACATAGTTTATTACGGGGCACATAATATATTATGTCATCGCACCAGAGTGTGTGGTATATTTAAGAGGGTCCAGCTGCAACACTAGCTGAACGAAACCCTTAACTACAAAACACTTATTAATGCCTTCTGTGTGCCCGCGGTAATTCCCCGGTCGATTACGAGCGGCAAGATATCGGCTAGAGTAAAAAGTTATTTTGTGACTCGTTTTTCTAAATCGCGTGCAAATTGTACATGTACAAATAGGGTTGTTTGTGAAATGCTGCAATCAAGCAGGAGGTTCACATGTTAAGCATTTGCCAACACGTTACGGGTTGCAGATGCGTTGCCAACCATTGGACAGCGACCTCACAACTCACCACAAACACATTAGTATAATACTGCCTCTTCACGCTGGTCTTCCATAAGGCCGTGTTACTTCCCCGGACAAGCCTGCCCATTCGTGCAACAGCCGAAGCTTGGCCCTGCCACAGTGTTTCCACTTTGCCGTCCATTAGTACCGATTCTCTGAGATTTGACGTGCGATTTTGGTCTCTATCGCGCGGCGATAAAGGCGAGCGGCCGTTCGAGTGCCAGTACTGCGAGCGCAAGTTCGCGCAGCAGTCCGCCCTCATCTACCACAGGCGGACGCACACCGGCGAGAAGCCGTACACGTGCAAGCTCTGCCCGGCTCGCTTCACCACCTCGTCGGCGCGCAACAACCACATGGTCACGCACACAGGCAACAAGAGGTACGCACACGTACGAGTACTTACAACACAAGCGCGTACGTACATAGCCACTAGGGATCACGCACACCGGCCATAACAGGTAGGCACACGTACGAGGAAATACACACACAAGCGTGTTCTTACATGAGCCACAAGCAGTTACGCACACCGGCTACAACCGTCGCGCACACGTACGAGAAACTACACACACAAGCACACTCGTATCTACATGAGTGGGTACCGGCCATGACGTATATGCACACGTACGAGAAAGTACATACACAAGCGCGTCTTAAATCCCATAATAGGCAGGCTCTGCGCGTTTACTAGGATAGTGTTGTAGAAGTGGTGTCGATGCGTGCGCCAATTCTCACTTCTTTAATTCTAAAATTTCTAAAACCCTATAATTGCCAGTCTCTGCGCGTTTACTGGGTTAGTGTTGTAGTGGTGTATCGATACGTAATGCAAGCCCGCCTCGCACCTGCCGCGTCCAGCAGGTTCGTGTGTCCGGTTTGCTTCAAGGGGTGCACATCCCGCGCGGACCTGCGCGTCCACTCGAGCAAGCACACGGGCGAGAAGCTGTTCGGCTGCGAGCTGTGCTCGCAGCGGTTCAGCTCGGCGTCCTACCTGGCGGTGCACCGGCGCCATCACACCGGCGAGAGGAAGTACCAGTGCAACGTCTGCGGCAAGGGTGAGCCGCCATCTAGCCTATACAACGTGGCGCAACTAATGTGACCATATATCAACGCAAACATTGGGGGATAACTTTTGTTCTTGCGATTTTAATGGCGTAAGAAAATAGTTTTCAAAAATGAGCTACTATTATATGCCACGGAGGTATAGATTTACGTTGATTAAACATCAATATTTACGGAGTTATTTAATTTAAAAGAGATAAAACATAGATACTGTTAGAAGACGAGTACTATTACAAGTTCTACATTACACATTACATTACATTACATTACAAGTATTACAAGTTCTTGCCTAGTGCTGTTAAAAGTTCTCGGTCTTGGTTTAATTATCTATAGGCGATACTAGTACAGATAATTAATCCAATATACTACGAGGTTTTTCTAAGTGTATCTATTTTTTTATACAATTCTAGACATAAATCATGTTACATAAAAAAAGAAAAATATTTAAAATCACTCCTAATTAATTAATTACATTCATTTGAACTTATCTCAAAAAGTGCGTGATTTATGGGCAACTCATTTATTTTACGCGCGATCATGTTATAACTAACACGCACACAAGATCCTTTCAAAAGTATACGACTCATTGTATGAATGAGTACCGCATTGTCAACAAGTTCTGTTTTCTAAGGAATGGAATAGGATTTTTAAAAAAAAAAGTTTGTTTTTATTTCAATAGACGATTATACTACCGAGTCTGAACCTCCTGTGTGAATTTGGGCACCTTTAGAGAAGTAAAATGAAAAAGTCTTGTTTTTACAAAAATAGAAAACAACGCTAAGGCTTTTACTTTAGCAGCTATTCATATAACGAGCGCTCTATATATACCTCAGTGTCTGGGAGCTCGTTTTTAATTGAATGTACTCCATCAACCGGAGTTCAAAAAAATATCAACATGCATAATTTCGACATAACAAAAAAATATTTCGAAGCTATGTGAAGTCCGCCAATTCACAATGGGGTCGCGTGGTGGACTGTGCCCTAATCCCCTCTATGCAGAGGAGACATTTGCCCAACAATGGGACTGTTACTGTTACTATAATTTTACTTCATTTTCAATGAAAATCCTCCACATGCTCACAACGATTCCCTCGGCCAGCGTACATCGAGTCCAGCGCGTACAAGAAGCATCTGAGAACGCACGAGGGCAAGGAAGAGGAGGCACCGGCTAATGCGGAGGCGGGCTCCGAAGTGGCTGCGAACAGTGCCGACGGCCAGGGCAAGGACCAGGAAACGGGGCTGGTGAGCCTCGGCGAGGAGCAGCTGGACGCCCAGGCCCAGGAGGCCCCGCCCCAGGAGGCGGCTGCGCAGAGGCGCTTCAAGTGCGGACTCTGCGTCAAGACCTACATGTACCTCCACAGCCTCAAGAAGCACATGATGACCCACATACCGGTGGGTCCACAATCCTCCGTATCCTACCTATCTAAAGGAACGTTTCCAATTTCTTCGTGATTCCCACTCTAAGTACCTGAGACCATCACAAAATTTGGAGCTAAAAATTCCTACACACAAAACCAAGTTAATGAGTAGGTCATTTATGGTGCAGGGAGCGCGACTCTGGAATGATCTACCTCTAGAAGTAAGACGCGCTCAGACAATAACTATTATACTATTTATTTAATCACTACTTATCGCTGTAACTTAATTTCTTAAACATGATATATGTATTCGTATGTATGTATATGTTTATATGTATGTATTAATATGTCTATATTTGTTATACCGCTGAGTGAATTATTAGTTTTTAGGGTTCCGTACCCGAAGGGTAAAACGGGAACCTGTTAAGACTCCGCCGCCTGTCTGTCTTTCCGTCCGTCTGTCACCAGGCAGTCTATCTCGTGAACCGTAATAGTTGATATTTTCACAGATGATGTATTTCTGTTGCCGCTAAAACAATAAATACTAAAAAATACAGTTAAAATATTCCCAAGAGCTCCTATACAATAGACATGATTTTCGGCGGTTTATAGATAATGGTACAGAATCCTTCGTGCGCGTTGCGTCATCTAAAACCAGCTGCACTAATTATCTAAAAAAAACATTAAATCGAGCGAAAAACACTTCACAGGATTACATATTTGTAGATATATTATTAAGTATCGCTACTAAATTATCAAACACAATCGAAAGCATCAATTCCCTATCAGCAACAGCAGGCGCAACAACAACAACAACAGCAACAACAGCAACAACAACAGCAGCAACAACAGCAGCAACAACAGCAGCAACAACAGCAACAACAGCAACAACAACAGCAACAACAACAGCACCACCAGCACCACCAGCCGCAGCTGCAGCAGCAGGTGGTGCAGGTGGGCGGGGTGCCGCAGCTGGCCGTGCCGCTGCATGCCCAGCACGTCCAGCAGGGAATAGCAGTTTCGGGAGTGCAGGTGACCACCGCACCATCAGCTGTGATTTTTTTGAAAGGGGTCTCCTAATTAAATTGGGGGACTAAGCTCCAAAGACCACATGAACATCTATTGTAGTCTTCCCTTCGAGAGCGTTGCCTTTTACTCTAAGATAACACTTTCCTATTTTCTGTGGTGGTTTCACATACATAAGTTTCACGAGGACAAACAATCAGACGCGAAGCATTATGGGTTATCTGTTGTTGTGGATCAAACGATAAGCTATCGCGTGTGGGAATCGAGCCCGCCGTCCATCGGCGGTGAAGACAATTCAAATTTGAATATTCTTATTAAATATAGAATTATTACACTTGCTTATTGATTCTCAAAAAACACTACTACCGTGGCGCAATTGCCAATACCTATCGATACAATGCCTCCCTATTGACCTTGCATAACTAATTGTGTCCTCTGAAAGTATTTGCTCGTGTTTAATTTGTATTTTAACGGCTTTATTCATACTAATATTATAAATGCTAAAGTAACTCTGTCTCGCTTTCACGCCACAACTACTGAACCGATTGAAATGAAATTTTTGTACACAGATAGTGTAGAGCCTGAGAAAGGACAAAGGCCATTTTTTAATTAGAAAAAACATATAGTTTTTAAAAAAAGATATTTACGAGTATTTAATGGTTTCATGGCGAGCGAAGTCCCGGGGGAAATGCTAGTTTTGTATAAAATTGCCCGCTTGTGATAGGCGCAGTTAGAATGAAGAGTTTATTTGTATTCCAACAGCGCAATGTTACAAAATTTTGAGAAATGATTTACTTACTGTCCGTTACATAATAAAAATATGTTTTATTTGTGTAATGTCGCGTTTTTTCAAGAGAGATGCATATATCGTTAAATTTTAAAAACAAAATTGATCTAAATACAAGTTTCTGTGAGGTCGTGGTACTTACCCGGACGAGCCTGCCCATTCGTGCAACAGCCGAGGCGGCTGCGTTGCCCTACCACCGTAAAATTAAAAAAAAACCGACGTTATACATATTTATTAAAAATGGAAATTTTAATAGAATATATAAAATAATCCGCCATCTCCATTACCATAGAGCTAACCTTACGTCTTATTCTGATTGCATTAATTTGCTTATTGTTAAAATCTTGTACTTTGTAAAAAAAATTGTTTAACTGTGTAAAATTTCAGGGACAGCACACTTATCCCGTCATATCGTCGGTACAGTCGTTGCAACTGCAGCAAACCCATCAGCAAGTCAACACGGTATGGTCTTTTAACAAAATTATAGTTATACATAAAAACAATTATGATTTTCAACCGACTTCAAAAAAGGAGGAGGTTCTCAATTCGACGAAAAATGATGATTCTTTTTTTATTTGAAAGATGGCGCTTCCCATGTGGTCCCGTATTAATTTCATTAATATTGGATTTTGGGCTCCGTAGATACTTAGGGAATCCTGAATCTCAATTATAAAATGCAATACACAGCGACATATTTGAAGTCGATTTTGTATTTCGGTACTAAAAATATGGGCTTGTTATTGTTATAAATTAAAACATTTGTTATTATTTATACTAAAACATAGATTTGCATTACAAATTTTTTGAAGTTTGTGCCCTTCTGACATCTACTAGCCGTAACACTTGAGCTGTTTGTCGTGTTATCTATATTTTGTCAGTTTCTTTACATAATTTTATTCCTGCATTTTCAGCAACAGCCTCAACAGTTGCAAGTGCAAACTATACAAATTCATCCGCAGCATCAGCCAATACAAATACACGTAAGTTAAAGCAAAACAATTTAGTGAGTGTTGATCAGAATAAAATAATTGTGCGATTACTAAAACATGTATTTTAATATTGTTCGCAATTACTGAAACTACCTTTACCGTTTCATAATTAACTGTGATGTCCTTAGATAATTAGACCAATATTAATTTTATAAGTTTGTATTACAAACGTATAAACTAGTGTTTTATGTAACTAGTGGTCGCCCAGAAATAATTATACACGATAGTATGTGTAATGTTTTTTTTATTGATTTAATGTATTTTTATGCATAAATTAAAAAAAATATTAGCATTCTGCACTCCTCTATATAAACTTTAAGTGTGGTAAATCTCATACTCCTCCGTCCGCGCAATTTTCGTTAAGTTTTTTTGCTTAGCGTATTAATTATTTAGAATATATAAAACATTTCTGGGGTGTACAAATATAGGGAAAAAATAAAATTCCTAATCTCTGTACATCTGTCAACGTATGCAAAAATTAATTTTTACCGTATCGCGTTTCCAGGCTGTGGGTGTACAGCAAGTGCAGCAACAACAGTTGCACGTGGCGACATCCAGCTGCCAGACGATGCTTCCAAACATATTGCAGGTAACTATGCGGTTTTGTTTTAAAAAAGTAACATGTCTATACATGCCCCACTGCTGGGCATAGGCCTCCTCAATAGAGGGTATCAGGGCATAGTCCACCACGCGGCCCCACTGCGGATTGGCGGACTTCACATATCTTCGAAATATATATATTTTTTGTTATTATTTCGAAACTATGCAGGTTTCCTCACGATGTTTTCCTTCACCGCGGAGCATGTGATAAGTCTGCACTTAAAGTTAAAAACTTCATATGCCCTATATATAACCTGGGATCGAATTCAGGTTGCTTAAGTATATTGAATTAAAGGCGAGCGCCCGGACACTGAGCTATCACGTCTCTTATTTTTTAAACGCGCATTGTTTCGCCCAAGTTTCAATGAAGCCATGAACATAATAATCTGCCGACAGTTCATGAATTTTCGAGCGAGACAAATGGCGATTTACCTGCGGCGCGAGCGAGACAACAATAACTGTGATAGGGCTACGCTGTGCAGTTCGCTGTTACACGAATTGGCAGGGCAGGTGTAATATTTATAAATTGAGTACAGAGTCCGATAAAAATACTATATTTCATTACGAGTGCGGGAAGCCTGTCATTGCAAAGAGTTCCGACAAATGTCTACCCGAGCCGAGGCGCAGCCGAAGGTGAGGGTTGACAGTCGGAACGAGTTGCAATGACGGTTCCGCACGTGTACAGAACAACAGTTTTAAATACAGTTGCGAAAAAATGAAGCAATTTAATTGAATAATAAAAACACAATAAAGAAACTTTTGGAAAATGGCGCCAACCGTAAAAGAATATAAGCACTTTTTTTCGTTTTCTTCACCCATTCTGTGTGGACAAATGGAACTATACCCATACAGCCAAGTCTTCAGTAGATTTTTTTTTTATATGAAATGAAAATAAAATTTAATGAGATGAGATGAAATGAAATGAAACCTAACCTAACTCATTGAATCAAATCATTAAATCTGATATTGAAACAAATTAGTAGCTTATTTTAAGAAATATTTGCATGAATCATTAAAACTTCTATGAATTTTTTGTTTTGTAAAAACTTCGTGGTTGGTTTTTTCTTTTTAATAGACATTATTTTGACAGTTGGGAAAGAGAACGCACTAGTTCGGAAAAGGTAAAGAAAAAGCTCGAGTGTGTAATAGCCCACATCCCGAACGCTATACGTCCCTGCAATACGCCACTTTTTGAGCAACTGTATTAAAAAGTAATTTTAATTGGTCCGAGATTGAGTATTGTTGACTCTGAAAAACTTGCCACACAGAGCCACAGCCACTATACATTTCGTTGAATGGAACGGAGTTACTTCTATTATTATATTATTATATTCCATTAATATTATAATAATGGAGTTATTATTCTCTCTCTTATCCTTTAAACGAGCAATTCTTGTATATATATAATTGCAATCTCGGAAACGGCTCCAGCGATTTTCCTTACCTACATTTTATTTTACCAGCGATCGACTTGAAGACGCACAAAAAATTTCATTAAAATCGGTCCAGCTGTACAGAAGGAAGGAGTTCAGTGACATACACACGCCGCACAGAAGAATTATTATACAGCGTGTCGTTACCATCGCGACAATAAATGAACACACGTCTAACGCTACTTGCCAATAATCAAAAAAAATATTAACGTTAAACAAAATCCATAATTAAAAAAAAATATTTTTCAAACAAAATAATTAAGTAAAAAAGAAAGAAAATTTGTAACATCCTATACAACTCACGCCACAGCGACGTATTACAAGCTTCTCCTTCTAACAGTATGTTTTGTCTCTTTTAAATTCATTCAACCCATTCATATGCTTTGTGACCTTTACAAATGAACTTCACGTTACGCTTTTATAGGTAAGGGTGTTCTAAAATTCTTTGTTTTGGAAAATTTAATAACTCTGTAAATATTGATGTTTAAAGAATTTAAATGTTTAATACAACTTTAAAAAGTTATCCCCTATATGTGTGTTCCTTTAATGTCGCGATGGTAACGACACGCTGTATAAACCAAACTTTGGCTAAAGGCCTGGTCTGACAGACAGTGTAATCCGGCATGCAAGCCCATTACGGGTTTACAGACACAATATTTTTGTTTATTATTTCTTAGGTTCCTATATAGCTTTTCCGTCTTCAAGTTTCCCTTGATCATCATTAGATACCTTATTATAAATGTTTTTACGGTTGGAAGCCAGAGTTGATAACGATGAAACTTTTTTAAGTTATACTTCTTTTAGCGTGTTTGAAAAACATGAGAGGAAAATTATTTATCATTCGTTTTTTCTCATTTTTTTTCTTTTTATGTATCTCAATTATATACAGCGTGTTTTTACAACCGCAACATTAAATGCACACACTAAAGTCTGCCGCCGCGAGCGCACTCTTTTAGCTTGTTTGTACGTATGTTTATTTACAATAAATAAACTAGGTAGTTCCGAATGATTTTACATTCATTAGTAAATTTGAGTTAAGCTTGCCCCTCCGCGGCTGTGTTTTGTTGATATTGTGTAAGTGCATTCGGCTCATTCCGTAAATAGGGATATTCTGATAATCACAATTTTTATTATGAAATACGGCAATAATTTTGCTCTGGCAACGTTTACCTAGCCGCCATCCTAATACGCTTCGCCACTTCAGTTGATTCAGGTAGCTGTGAGCGAGTGCATGAGTTCAACGCAACATTTCTATGATTGAGAGCAATTTTCCGCCTTTTTAGGATTATCAGAATTACCCGAACATTCGTAATAAAGAAGCCTAGAAAGTTATTTAACTAATTGTTTTTATTACGATAAATTTATATTTTTATGCACTTCTTATGCAGGTTTTGAAAGCTCTATCTCCACTTATTTTGCTTTTTTCGGGATTAGCCGAAGAGAGTAAATCCGAATTATGGATAATTCGAATTTACCCGATAGTGATTTTCTCTAAGAAAAGTCAGTGGTTCTAAATATTTTAATTCTTGTTTGTTTAAATGGATTAGTTTATTTTCAAATTGGTGAGTCTGAGTGACTATTTTCGGCTTCATCATTTTTGAATAGAGCCAATTCTTTGAGAAGTCACGTTTATTTCGGCCTTAAGGGCTATTAATTCACAAAATTTGTGTCATTAGATTCGTCTGTAGAATTGTAGTGAATTAGGTATTTTTTTTACATATTTTTTTTCTAATTTTTTTGGCATAAAATCTTGCTAATTACACTAATAACCTAAAGTTTTAAATTAATTATTCATAATTACAGATAAATTTACAAGATTACATTATCAAAAATATGACTCGAATTGTCTGTAGTTTGCAGAAAGAGCACACTGAGTGTATATTTAAGTTAATGTTTCGAAATGGGTTTTTTTTTTTAGTTATATTTATTTTGCCACTCAGAACTCAATTATGCTTTGAATCATTTATGTTGGATCTCAATACTTCCATTATTTTACTTTAAATAAAACTTTGATACTTCTTAGTTTTTCACTTTATTTCACATACTTTACCATTTAACATGGTCTCTAAAGTTTGGGAACCGTAGACCGAACTTGCACTAAATATCGCGTAATTCCGAAATATAAATGTCACATGAGTATGTTTACGCTACTCAGGGGATAGTAGGGAACAATATATTTTGCAAGGGTAAATGAGGACGAAAAAGAAATATGTATCTTTTGTTACAGCTCAGTAAAATTCAGATTTAAATGTTATTCAGAATTACCCTAGCATACTTCGGAGTTGCACTTACACAACAAAAAAGGAATCTAATTTTGATATAGTTTTATTGTAAAATACTGAGGATATTAATAATAGTCATTAGAAAAATGTTTTAGGATGTATATTCAAGTTAACTATTCGACTTTAGTTGATAGCATTAACTACACCAATTCTGACTGGTAAACGAAAATTCTAACATACCGTCAACTATTCTCAAATCGTTTCGTAAATACCCGAATGCACCTTACTTATTTGTGAGATTTAGACTCAGAGTATGGTTAATTTCGCGATGACTTCGCAGAAAGAGAACACTAGAATATGTTGCATGTGTGGATCTTCGCCATCTAAAGATCCCAGCATCACTCTACATCGGTTCCCAAAGCCTGGCTCAAAAAATGCTCTGCGGTATGTACCTACTTCTGTACTTTCAATGCTATTGGTTTTAAACGACCTGGAATTAAGAATAACATAATACAATTATTGTCAATGTAGTCAATAGCCTTTGCCTTATTAAGCTTATTGAAATGATGTTCCGTTGCACCTAAGTTCAAATTCGTATAAAACAAAACTACTCGTTTTCTCAGGGTGAGGGGAGTGTCGCTTAAAATGGGCAGCCAATCAAAACAACCCTTTAAACCCTAAATTCGGGATGCGAATTTAAAATGGCAACCCGGAATAATTATGATTATAATGGTACGTCATTTTGATATTTTTTATTTTTCAGGTGTGAATTATGGGCAAAGTTTTGCTACCCAAATGAAGCCTGGTCTTCACCAAAATTCCAGGATGGACTGTATGCTAAACATAAGATGCTTTGCAGCAAACATTTTAATATCAAATGCTTTGATAATAAGAAGTTGTTCAGAACAGCTGTACCTGATGTTCAATCCCATAAGGTTAGTACAATGAAGACTTAAAAAGTGTATTTAAAACACCTGCCTTACTTTACAAAGAAATACTGACGTTATGTTGTGTATAAGGGGCACAAAACATTTAAAAATTATACCCTTTGTTACTTTTGTCAATGTATGATATCCCATATATCCACATCTGTTTAGGCAAATTTCAAAGTTATGGTGGAATAAAGAAACTTATACATACATCGACCCTGAAAATATAACACCCCAATTTTTGGGCAGTTGTGTAAAAAAATGGCACTTTGGCATTTAAAATATTAGTGACAAAAACTAAAACTTTTAATAACAATTAATTATTTTTGGAGTTGGTGCCAAAACTGTACTGTGAGCACTAGTTGACTTTATATAGTAACAACAGTTTGATTAAGTTTTTCTTATTTTCTTTTAGGATACAACAATTTCTAATCTGCCTGATTAATCTGACATATTTTAATCAGTTGCCAGTTCATCCAGAATTTACCCTTTAAGGGAACATAATTAATGCAAATATCAACAAGCTGGTAATGTTTGTGTGTGACTCCTCAAATCAAGGTGATCAAAAAAGCAAACTATTGATAAAGAAACTGAAAAGGAGTCTGAACAATGTATATTGATAAAGAATTAAGCATTATTAAGTGTGACTTGTGACACAACTAAGATAACAGTGAAACAGTAAGTATGTGAGAAACAGTTCCATAATTACTAATTTTAAAACATTTCTGACACCACCCATAGGCATGAATGTAACAGTGAATGTAAGAGATTCTTTTACCGAGTCCGTAAAAAATCTTACATCCCCTCAAAGAATTTAATAGATTATGCTGAAAAAAGTGCTAATATAATAAATATGTTTTTAGAGAAAGAATTATACAAAGAAAATGTCAAAATTAAAATAACACAATTGTTAAAGAGCTTTATACATTATGACTTCCTTGAAAGAATGTAAATGTTTAATACAATTTTAAAAAGTTATCATCTATATGTGTGTTAATTTATTGTCGCGGTGGTAACGACACGCTGTATATTTAGCCCTGCGAGTGATTACAGGTGATGTCACAGCTCTTTGACTACTTAAACTAGGAAAAGTTAAAACTGTATTTTGTTATTTTGATTGAACAACTTCCTGTATTAATTTTCTACATAATCTCATTTATATCGTATTTTAAAAATATTATTTTTATAATACGATATAAATGAGTACGATATAAATATGTACTCATGTGAATATATGTCCGTTATATTATGTTGCAGAAATGAATATCTCCTATATTGTATTTATTATCACGCTAAATAAAAGAGTGAAGTACTAATTCGATCTTTTTTTTTAATTAGATTGCTCTCTAAAGATGAATAAATATAGCAATTTATGCACAAGTACACTGTGTTTTCGAAAGTGATTTTATTAAGATCTTAATGATTGTCGAGGTAAAAATCTTGTAGGAAAATATCAACAAACTCATTGTACTTTTGCATAATATGCCAAGTACCTTTAAAATTATTGGTTTCCAATTTCCGCCCTAGATTTTACTACTAGTTTTGGTGGACGTGTATTTTTATTCCATTGTTGTGTTATTTTTATAAATATAGGTATACTATTCTTACGGTGATAGACAGATAGACGCCATTTTGTTAATTTTATCTTATTATTTTATCATTACAATCATAAATAGTATACTTACTTACTACAGTATTAGTTACTCCTAAAATGTTATTGTCAATGCTTTAGCGTTAAAGTTAAACTAACTACAACTATGTTTAGTTTATAAAACTATTTCACTGATTGCTGCTTCTAATAACAAACAATATTTTTGCGTGAAACTTATGTTTACTTAAAAGAAAATAAAAGTACTGTAACAATTATTAATAATTTAAAATTTTCTTTAATTATTCTCTGCACAGCCCGCGTGATACTTATTTTAGTCTTAACTGTAATCTTAATTGAAAAGCAAATGCTAGTGTATCTAATTCGAAGAATCAAAAAATCACAGCTGTGACAAAGTTTCTTTGATGAGTTCAGATATTTGTATTGTTTATTTAAATTCATATGTAATGGTTAATATAAGTGGTGTACAGTATCTGCAAGTCAGGCAGAGCTAGGCAGAAGAGGGAAAGATAGTTGAAGTCTGAATTCTGTAAATACATGAGTGGCGGGAAAGCAGTATGACAATGTCAAAATAAGTTATGTAAAAAAATTTAAGTAAACATCGATATGTGTGTTGCGGTAGTAAAGCCGCGTTGTATATGTATGTTTTTAGCCAGAGTTATTAATATTGACAGTATTTTTCATAAATCATTAAACTAATCTTCAATCAATAACCTTTCTTCTCAGCTCCAGCCGGCGACAGTTGCGGTGTCGGGCCTGGGCCAGCAGGAGTTGGGTGGGGTCGCTCACCGAATAATACTGCAGCAGCCGCCGACCCATCCCGCCTTGTACACTATACACCACTGAATTTTAACTTGCAACCGAAATATGAAGTGTTACACATATTTGCTCGTATATTGTACAGTGTTAGTTAGGCTATTGTTGATTGTAATTTTTTTCATACGTGCCCTTGAAGAAATCAGCTGGCACTTTGAGAGGTTATATATTGATTTAATCTTTTTATATATCTACCCACTGATGTAGACAATTTCTGAAGAATCAATTTTCCCACTTTTGTAAGAAGACAAAGGGTATTAATGGACCTTTTTATTGCCCAACGCCTAAAGTCTGTGACTTAGTTTCAGTTTATAATTATGTCTTCTCTATGTCTCACACTATTTTAGGCATGAGAAGAGATTTTTACGAATTTTTTTAGGAATCGAATATTGAAATAGGAATATTGTTCGATTAATCGACATTAATTAGCGCTTTCGATTGCATAACAGTAAGACTCAATCTACTTTTCTCTCAAACCTTACAGCTGTTTCCTAAATTTTTATCGTAACGAAATCTAGGAAAAGGTAAAGTCAATTTTGAATAGATAAAAATTGTGCTTTCGATCAGGGTCTCCATATGCGTAGATGCAGAGTAATCTGGTTTTTATCTAACGTCAAGGTAATAACGTATTACCATGTCATATATCACCGTATTACAATTATACATTAAGTAATTAAAAATATTTCATCATGTACTATGAATCAATGAATCTGTCATTTTTAAAATTTTTTTATCTTAAGTGCATAGATTAGCACTATAAAAAAAATTTTAATTTCTAAAAAGTAATGGCGACATCTCTCGTTCGAAGTTATCGTTGTAAAACGATGTTCGAAATTGTTTGTATGCTGGAAAGGATATAACAATAGATGCGCCAAGCATTGCTTCAAATGCAAAATAACAATGTAAAAAGGCGTTAACAATTTTGGTCGGTGTGGCAATCAGCCGTTTAGCTTAGTGGCTAAAGCGTCAGGCTGCGAATGCCGAAGACGTGGGTTCGATTCCCACAGCGGTGGCAAATTTTTCGTACTTTTTCTACAAGTTTTAATGAATCTCAGTCAGTTAACTTTTGCCTGTGGCAAGACAACGCAGCAGCCTCGGCTGTTGCACGAAAGGGCAGGCCCGTTCGGGTGAGACCCTCCTGTGAGGACCACGACCTCACGGGAGACTAGCGTAAAGTGGAAGTATAACAAATACTTTCGCGTTTCGTCTGGTGAGTGTGGTAGCCGGAGCCCAATGTTCAAAAGGTTGTCAACGTATCTGTAACCCTCGGGTGTAACAGATGTCCATGGGCGGCGGTATTAGCTTTAACATCAGGTGAACTGTCTGCACGTTTGGCAACTTTTCACATAAAAAAAAACTCAATATTTTCTTTAATGGCAGTACTACTCCCGGTTGCCGAGAATTCAACGGGAATCATCAATAACTAAAAGTTTTATCTCCACGCAATCTATTCTCGTCCTTATTTAAATATAGGAAGTAGTGAAATTTGTAAGTCTGATGGATGAATTACGTAAAATCTACTACGTTGCCTTTATTTCTAGTTACGACGCCTTAAAATAATACGTCGTAGTATCAAAATCATTTCAACCTTTTATCCTAGAATATTCCTAATTTAAAAGTAATAGAGATTTTACGGTTTGAATTTATGAAAATTGAATTGTGTATTGAAAACATGTCTAGAAACACCGTAATTTTACCCTTGTAATACGGTAATTCTGGATTTACGTATGGAGACGCTGCTTTCGGTGAAAGCACATTATTACACTTACAATATTTGGCGTATCTGTATAAGTTTGAATTTTCAAGTAATAGTAATTTAATTAAAATGCTTAAGTACTACGTATAATCCACCACATCTAAATATTATTCCTGCTGGTATAGGTGTACACTTTTATGTGAGTATGCAAATAAAAACAAAAATATTACAGATTGGTGCTGAGTTTTTAACAGACTTCATATAAAATTGAACTTTTACTTGCCAATTTAATATTTATTTAAGACAGTCTCGTTAGAGTATATTCTTCTGTGGTCATGACAGATGATCAAACATCGCACAATTATCAATAAACTAGTGATATATGGCGTGTTCACGTTTTATAAAATAATAATTATAGTATTGGTTGCCTTAGTAATTTTAGCATGAAGTACAAGTAAACATTAATTATAGTAATAAATATCATATATCATAAGAATGAAACTCGGATCTTCCGTACTTCAGATTAGGTTTGCACGGTATTGTAAATATATTATTAAATAGTTTAGAATTTTCCTACACCTAGTAATTATATAATGTTACCATGTCGAAAATAGTTCGCTATGGCTCTATTGATATTTATAAATGTAAAGCAATAAATATATAAAAAATTTATAAAATTCAAACAGTTTTTCCTTTATTTACTACGCCTTTCATTGTACTGATAATATTTGAAGCGAAGTACACGCGAAGTACACATACAGTACTTGGTTGCACTTTTTGTCATAAGAGTTTGCAAGTGCTATGGAAGTAGTGTTAGTAAAGTTACACTATTTAAAAATAATCTGAATATCACATTTGCCGCCGCTGGTCTAAATTGCGACCTCCGACCGCATCTGTCGTTATCCCTTCTCCGTACCGTACCGAATTTGCTCTGTAAAGGTTCTTTACACAGAAACTTGTCCACTAAATATTAGTTGAAACACGTCTTAGACGCCTTTATAATGGTAAAAATGGAATTGCAAATCGGAATAAATACAGCTCCGTTATGGTGAACATAGACGGTGCTCTCTGATTTAATAAAAAAAAGTGCACTGTTCCTAAACTAATTTAAAAATGCTACGCTGTTGTTATTAATCTTGGCATATCTTGACAAACTAAGATTCAATTGTCATTCAATTCAAAATTTAATTTCATCGTTTTTTCCTCACCAAATAAGCTTCAGCATAGGGTTGATTTTGACTAAGTCATCATACGAGGACAGCAAATAAATCTAGAAATCCAAACTTCTTGTTTATCCATACATCCAGTTCGTATTTTATGTTAATAATAAATATTCACACACTATAAAATATGTTTTATTTAAGAAGAGTATAAATAAATCTAAACATACTTATAATACACATGAACAATTAATGAGGCAATTTTATATAATATGCAATTCATTCATTAAAGACAAAACACACAAAGACTATCAGTCTCAATTGTCCTGAATTAGTCATGATTGATCCACCTATTAAATTATGGCAACTTAATTTTTTTTGCAGTTATTATTTTAACTCGGCAAGTATTTTATACTGCCACAATATTTGTTCTCCAAACAAATTACCTCATTTAAAATTATAAGGTGGCAGTCCCCTTTATAGAATGCACAATCAGGCTATCATGTCCCAATTAATAAGTAATGAAAAGCATGGATTGAAATCATATTTACAACATATATAATGGTGAATTTAATTATGGTATATTAATGTAATCAAAATCTTGCGTCATTAAATCAGACCTCTCCAATGTCATAATCCTAATAAGAGTTAAAACTAAACACCAAGGTCCAATTAAGTCCATAGCACATACACAAAAACAATTCGATGAGATAAAGATAAAGATCTATTTACAAATGTCTTTCAAATCTCTTAACATCACATACTGTACTACCATTTATAATAGTCATTTATCAAAATATGTTGTAATATTTGTTTCATTCAAAGTCCTATAAAACAAATATTTTTTGTTCAGCTCATGAGCACAATATTGAGCACCTGAAAAATATCCTTTACCAATCTTTCCCAACAACGCTTCTTTTTATCAACCAACTCAATTATTGCAAAAGGTGGCCAATTGCTAAACAGAGCTAATAGTTTCTAATCATGATTAATGGTTGCAAATCAGTGAATTAGATAAATAAATGCGTTCAACCTTCATCACTATACACTCTGTGCACTGCTGTCTGTATCATTGGAGTTCTCAGGAGTGTATCTTATATATGCAGAGTGCACTGTCAGACCCGGTGGCAGTTTCACGTCGCGGAAGTAACGATGGCGACGGGCATCCTTTGCCGATATGCGACGTACAGGGTCGTAAACCAGCATCTTTTGCAATAGATCCATCCCCACTTCATCTAAGTTTTGGACCTGTAAAAACAGTGTTAAAGCTAAGATGTAAACATGTTATTTTTTTGGTAAAATAGCTTAAACATTGCTTGGATTTGCTTAGATTGCAGTAAATATTTACATTGATTTATAATATTTTGTTATATAGAATAAATTATGACAGTTAGTACATATGATTGCTTGATGCATTCCAATTTTTTAAAATAATTTTAACCTATTTTCATATCAATATATTATATTTTATGAGTTCCTAATCTTTCAAAATTTAATTTTTGAGGGCTAACAAGATAATAAAACTAAAGGTTTAGTCTACAATATTAGCACATACATGATTATGAAGATTGAATGTGTTCCAATTTGGGAATGTAGGTTTATAGTCAGGAAGTGATGAAACTCCTGGCCAAATCTCCTCTGTGGGTGTGCGTAACATCCTGAAAACATTGAAAAAAATATGTGTACTCTTTCTACTACATTATTTAAAATTTTCTTTGTTTAATCAGGCGTCATATTTCTATTACAACAGAATCATACATAATGATTGATTGTAAATACCTGAAGATGCGGAAAAGTTGATCAATCTCGGAGTCACCTTGGAACAGTGGTTTTTTCGATGACATCTCTGAGAAAATACATCCTACTGACCATATGTCAATAGGACATGAATATCTGTAAATTTTAAAACAGATATTTCATACTTTGACACATCTGTATCGCTAAATACCGCTTTCATGAGATAAGTCATCCGATTTATCTCATGAAAGCAGGTGAGGATTTATAGTGTAAGGAGCTATGGCAACTGTGGCTGAGTTGTCAATTGATTGGTCATATTAGTTATTCATGCCAAACATTACACACATAAACTATGAATATACAGGGAGATTTTTTGAGAAGTGGCCAAATTTACACAGGAGATTCAGACTCGGTAGTATAATCGTTTATTAAAAAAAAAAACAAAGTTTTTTTTCCAAAAAAATATGTCATTCTATTCCCTAAAAAACAATGTGTTGACAATGCGGTAGCCATTCATAAATACCTAAACTTTAATGTGCACGAAGTTGTGTGCGTGTTAGTTATGAATGATAGCGCGTAAAATAATTAAGTTGCGTATAAATCACGCACTTTTTGAGCTAAGTTCAAATGAATGTAATTAATTAGTTACAGGTGATTTTAAATATTTATCATTTTTTTGTATAACATTATTTATGTCTAGAATTTAATAAAAAATAATGGATACACTTAGAAAAGCCACCTTGTATAGAGTAAAATTGTTCTTTGTTTATGTTGCATATAAATTTATTAGTGTATTGATTTTAGTTTAATAATATAATGTTAAAAGTAATTCTAATAATAATAAAGTGATTATTTGTGTTAAAGGTCATCCAATGACTACAAGTGATTATTTTTTTCTCAAAAATTATATGAATTTATGGCACTTGATTGAGAACCAAAATTGTGATTTATAACATTTGCGTAATAAGTATAGCAGAGAGCACTGCAGAAGCTGCTTGTTTAGTAAGTCCCAACAACCACTGCAACCTAGAAATATATTGTGCTCTTCTCTATGAAAACAACCCCCTTACTGTAGGATAAAATTACCGTGTGTTGTTAGGACATTCTACATGCATAAATAACACATGGGCATAGAACCAAATCTGAAACAATACTACCTGTGGGTCACACAAATATTCGTCTGAACCCACAATCCCCGGCATTGATGTCCATACCTTGGCAACTGTGCCATGGAGGCATTAGTGACGGGAGTAAGTGAATGAACATAGAGAAAAATATACAAGAAGGAAAGGGATAAAACAAGTGTAAAGTTACTTTATTAACTACTTTAAATTTTCTCTTCCCTTAATAAAAACTAACAACAAACTATATATTTATCCTGGATTGAGTAAGAAGAAATAATAACTTGGCCATTTTTCATCACTGAAGATAGAAAGAAAACAAACAGTTGCTTTATTACACATTTATTGCTCGCCTTTAATTCAATATATTCGAGCAACCCCAGTTCGATCCCCGGTGCTGGCACCAATGTAGTTTTTAACCTTAAGTGCTGACTTATCACATGCTTCGCGGTGAAGGAAAACTTCGTGAGGAAACCCGCATATTTTCGAAATAATAACAAAAAAATATATATTTCGAAGATACGTGAAGTCCGCCAATCCGAAGTGGGGCCGCGTGGTGGACTATGTCCTGATACCCTCTGTATAGAGGAGGCCTTTGTCTAGGAGTGGGACATGTATAGGCTGTTACTTTACTTTACTCATATGCCAGCCTTTTATCAAGGTATGGTACATCAAATACACAGTGGGCTCTGTGAAAAATAGGATAATTAGAACTACTAAGTTCTAATTATTCTTGTTTTTTCACAAAAAAAAAAACACAAGCATACACATTTAACTTACCTTTGACTACCGAGTAAAACTTCTGGAGCTCTGTACCACAGAGTGACAACTTCGTGAGTGTACACTCTCACCGGGACACCAAAGGCTCTGCCTAAACCAAAATCTGCCACCTACAATAATCATATGTCTTTTTCACAAGGGTTTTTTAGAAGCTAAAAGTGAGATATAAATATAGAGTACCTTTAAAACAATATTAAGTTTGGGTTTAATGTATGCAAGAAAGGGGAAAAACTTTTTAAATATAATTCACTGCTGAAAAAAGCTTATAAATAATTTGAAGAATACCTTAATGATACCAGTTTTATCAATAAGCAAATTTTGTGGCTTAAGATCTCGGTGTAAGATGCGACGCTGATGACAGTACAGTATAGCATTGTTTATTTGATATAGATAACTTTTGACCACGGCAGGATCCATAAACTGCAAAAGCATTGAAAAAAAAGCTATCTTTAAAATAATGTAGACATATTAATAATTAGAGATAGACAGATAAGAAATGCTTAATAAATAAACTTAACATTGCTTTTGATAAATTATTGAAATCTGAAGAAAAAATATTTGTTATATAAATTAATTTTGAGATTATTGCATTTGGTGCCTTGTTATTAGACTTACTATCATAAGTAACAAACTTTTTAATTATGAAGTTCTTGTAGGTATTTTTTCAGATACACAAATTGCTTGCATAGAATGCCCATATCTGACATATTTGATGTTGGTATTTTTACGCAAACTTTTTTGGTTGAAAAGTAAATAAAAAAATGTATAAAAAAACCAATATTAAGAATAATTTAAATGATTTCAAGAGAATAAGGTAAACATTAATAACAGCTTACATTTGAGTTGATCCATACCTTTCCTGAGCCAAGTGAATCCATGTATTTCTTTAAGTCCATGGAAAGAAATTCGAAAATGAGATAGAGTCGAGATTCTTCCATAAGAACATCTTCTAATTTCACTATATTGGGGTGGTTAAGTTCTTTAAGTAGAGAAATTTCTCTAAAAACATATAAGAATAACTGTTGTAATAAGTTAGGTTATAAAAGCACGCTTAATAATAAAAAATTACAGCGTGCTTATTGCAATCATATCCACTAATACTAAAAAAAGAACCAATGTACAAATTGCAAACATACCTGATAGCGGTAGATGGTATACCTTCATCTTCGGACTCCAGGCGAATTTTCTTCATGGCCACGAACTGACCAGTAATTTTATTTTTTCCTTTATACACCACACCGTATGTACCTTCTCCTATCTTTTCAATTTTTAGAAAATCATCCATCTTGTAGTAAGGAATTTTGCTAGATACTAAACAAGCTCTGGTAAGAAAAGTGCCAATGTTTGGTTATCGCGACTAAGTGTTATGGATTTATTAAGACATGAACAACGTTATAGCTTTTTTTAAAGACATTTATGTTCTTATTGTAATAAAATTAAGTAAATATTTATCGCGAAAAATGTTTAAACCAATATCACAGCTTATAACGACTTTCAAACGAAAAGTTTTTAAATTTTTCGAAACAGATAGGTTGTTTCAACATTGCCATAATATGAAACTAACTGATTTAATTTAATAATAAATACTAAATAAATAACGTACGGTATCTAGTTGTTCAATTTCAAGTATATTCTATAAAAATATTTAATTAATATATATTATCATTATGATATCAATGTACAATTTAAGTTTATTACCAATGTTATTAATAATGTCAATCGTGTATATTATTAAATAATAACATAAATAATTGCATAAACCTGAAACAATATTCATGCAAAAGAATTACTTGTTATTATTTATTATAATTTATCAAATGTATTTTCGTACTAAAGTATCTTAAATGTTTAAAAATTAACAACGTCCTAGATTATTTGAATCAGAACGTAAAAATGGCGATATAACTAATTATCAACGTAATTATTGTCTCAATGAAATGTTTAGAAAGCGAAATATTTGAACAATGGTAGGTTATTAAAATGTGATAAATGATATTTTTATTACAGATAATAAATGTAGTTAACGCGCCTGGAGTGGAAAACAAAGAAAGAGGCAGAAAATAAGATACGGGGACGAGAAAGACGTAGGCATCTCGACCAAGACCTCGAGATGTTTTTACACTTATTTTCTTCATGACAACACTTGTCATCCTCTTTTTTCTTATTGCTTTAATTACGCTATCCTTTTTATACTATGCGAACGAAACGTGTGAGTGTGTGCTATCATTGTTTGGATCTGGAAGTAGGAACTCTTTTGATTTCAACCGGTGATTTTGTATCCGTATAACTTATGAGTATGTATTTATTAACAACATCTACCGTGTTTTTTATGCGAGGAAATAGCAAAGGAGCTGGCGGTTCAACTGATGTTAACTGATAACCGCCAGCCCATGGACATTAGCAAAACCCGTAGGATGCAGATGCGTTGCTACCTCTTAATAATGTGGGCCCCGGCTACCTCACGCACCAGACGAAACGCAGAAGCGCAACACTTCCACTGTACGCCGCTCTTCTGTGAGGTCGTGGTACTAACCCGGACGGACCTGCCCATTCGAGCAACACTGTTGCGTGGCCCTACCACCGTTAAAATTATGTCCAAGAAAGTAGAGACGGTATTAATCATCGTTAGGTTTGGATTAAAAAAAAAAGGGCTAAGAGGTATTTGTAATGACAACCAAATAAATAGTAAGAATAAAATATGTTAAAATGTACCTAAGAGTTTCAGAAGAAGTAAAGTTTACTTATCACAACACTGTGATGAGTTACTTTTTATTACTTTATCTTTATTTATTTCAGATACACTCCGCCAAAACGCTGGATGATTATTTTCAAATAGCCTTTTACGCTTTCTTAGCCTTTTTAAAAAAATCTGCAGGAGGCTTCAATTAGGCAAACATACGTCTTAATGACGAAAAATAAACGACTAGTTAAATTAAAATTATTATAATAATTAAATGAGCACAAGACGAATAAACTAAATATTTTAACATTACATTTATATCAAATAGGCAAAAATTATTATTTGAAAAAATGAATGCATTCATAATTTTCTTGTTCATAGATTTATGAAAAGTGTATATTTTGATGACTCGGTGGCACAGTTGCTATACCATTGGCTTCAGTAATGCGGATCATCGGTTAGATTCCCACAAAGCATAAGTATATGTGTGACTACTGACTCACAGATAATTGTTACGGATCGGTTTGTTAGTTCCCAAGGAAGGTTGATATCAGGCAGGCGGCCGGCAGGTCGCACAACACCTAGCCAGTACCATTTAAAATTTGATTCGCAAGTTGTGACGACCCCACTTAAAGGGTGTCCCATAAGTAAAGAGACCAGTTTAGTCTCAATTTAGTGTTCATATCGGCCAAGAAAGTACCATCCAAAGTACGTGAAAGACCAAGAAATGCATGCTAAGCGAGGTTGCCGTCGAGTTTACCAAAAAAGTTTGAAAAAAATTCTCATAATTGATGATGAAACTGTTGGAAGGTCGAGATGCTGTCTACGTATACTTGTCTATGATGCACTCCATTTGAATATGTATTATTTTCTTTTACTTTTGATGTGCGGTGTCATTATCTTATATATAAAATTCTCGTGTCACAATGATAGTTACCTTACTCCTCCGAAACGGCTTTATTGATTTTTATCAAATTTTATATGCATATTTAGTAGGTCTGAGAATCGGAATCTAAGTGATAAGGGTTGTTCACCCTTAACATTTTTTTTTAATTTTCAGACAATTTTTTTTGTTTTTATTTTTTTATGATACAGCATACAAAAATACATACAACCCTAAATTTCACCCCTCTATGCAGACGTAGTCGCGGGCAGCAGCTAGTATATTATATTTTCTCATATACAAGTAAATACAATGTTTTCAAGTATTATTTACGTTTTAATTAATTGCTATAGCCGCTAGTTCACCCTATCAGAAACTCTCAAACAAAGATGGGCTAGATTGGCCAAACGGGTGGCAACAACTTAATAGCATTAATTTGAGAAAAATTGGCTATAAAGGCATCGCAGGAGCAAAGATATGGATTGTATTTTCATTATTATTATGCATAATTTATAATGACACACATAACAGTTGACATACAATTTTTCATTAAAAAAAATTCTCATTGACTTTTCTCTTTACTTCTGGGACAAAGAAAGACCAATTTATTTTTAATATTTGAAATGAAATGGTGAAAAAAGACACTTAAAAATGTGAGTGTGTAATTCAAACAAGGTAGAAGTGAAACCTCAGAAAGGTAACCTATGAGAGAATGAGATAAATATAGAGTATCAGGAGTAGGATAATTTTAAGGTTTACTTTTATAATATTTTTGTAAGGTATGTAACATATATTACACTAGCTGATCCGGCAAACGTTGTTTTGCCATATAAATTACCAGCCATATTCATCTGGTGCCAATTAATAATTGGGAGGAATTTCGTAAAATCCGTTCTTAGTTGACTTCTACTTGCCGAAATGAATATTCTTACTAATTATTATTATCGGTATTAATTATCTCTTAGTCTCTTTGAGTCTCCGTGTTTTCAATTATTTACATATACATAAAAGAATTATTACATTTGTGTTAACGCGTAACGTTAATACGCGTTGCGACTTTACTTTTTTTTCTTTCTTTTTTACAATTGGAACAAATGACATCAAACATGTACAAAGGGGAGCTTAACCCTAAAAATTCTCTTGCAGCAGACCCTTGAAGATGCGAAGCCGTAATAAAGTTATGTGTAGGTGTGTGCATTGCTGCATTGAGAACATTGAGCCTGCCCATTCGTCCAACAGCCGAGGCTACTGCGTGACTCCTCGTAACCACCATAAAAAATATTATATATAGTAAAATATTATATATATATATATATATATATATATATATATTAAAATATTTAGTATATAAAAATTATATATATATGTATTTGTATTTAATATAAAATATAAAATACAAATACACATATACAAAGTTTAAATAATATAATTATACAAATACATACATACAAGATAAATGCATACAAATATTTGTTGTCATTTTTAAGTAGATAAATAGTGTCTGTTGACTCTATTACGAAAAAAGTCATGGGAAGAGCTGGCACGTATGTCATGTGGTAGTAAATTCCATAACTTGACCGCCTTTACAGTAAAAGACGCATCGTACCTTTTAGTAAAGTGAGAAAAGAATATATATAATACATAATACATTGATGACAGGACACGGGGGTATAGGAGGAGAATTTATAGGAGATTTGCACAGGTTGAAGTTGAAAGACAGTCCTGGTTGCGAGTGTGACCCAAATGTCATCGAATCTGTGTGGCACGTGATTCTGGAGTGTCCCCGTTTCATGGCGGCCCGAACAGACCTAGAATTTTTAACAAAAACCAAACTGACAGAATCTAACCTCTATAGTGTCATGACGGATGACGCAAGAAGGCCTTACTTCTTAGCATTTGCGGAGTCGATCTTCCGCATTGCAGCTAAGAGAAACGGCTCCACAAGTCATTCACTCTACCAAGATATCAACACACCCATAAATAATACAAACACAACCACACAACGCACACACATTAAATTCAACACAAATACTAGCGTGGGGTGAAAAAGGGGAACCAGGAATAAGGATCAAGGGAGTAGCTATCTTTATGGATAAGAACTCGGAGAGACTCGGGATAAGCTTCTGCAATCCAAAGACCAAAAACTGCGTCAAGATCTCACCCGGTCTCGCTCTCATGTTGAATTGCAGCACATTCAAGACAAGCATAAAACGCAAAACGTACAACGCGTTAACGGAGTTTAAAATCGCAGACCAAAAATGTCGAATAGTGAGATCACGTAACAAGTCGATCCTACTGTTCGCATGGGGCGAAATAGATAATCCCTTTGCTCAAGCATGCTCACTGCTGCGTCAACTCGGAGAGGCAGAGGAGGGTTCTAGTGGAGCACCCCGAACAATAAGTGTGGATGCTATGGTGGTCTAGCACAAGTAGGGGGAGGTCGCCTACTGCATAGGTTTCGTAAAAGCCTCAGAAAAACATGAGGTAGTCGTATATGAGGACCGAGGTGAAAACGTAAGCTTCCTTCGCAAATACGACTTGGCAACGGCGAGTTCTACTGTTGACAGCTGGGGAGATCCAATAGCCAATCCAAGATCACTTAGCGGATCGGAACGGTTACAACAAAAAAGCGAGGGAACACTGAAGCCAAATAAGAACCCTGGCGAGATCCGACGCAAGAGATAAGATCAACGCGGCCTTAAAAACATTCAGCGCAGCAGCCCAGAGCTTATTCGGGATCGCGAAGGAAAGGCTAACACAGCAGAAAAGCGACCACAGCTGAGAAGCCTCCTAAGCATCCTATTCTAATAGGCCCAAACTCCACCTTAACGTGAGCCGAAAAGGGAGAAGTAAATCTGCCAATCTTAAGACCAGTAGAGGATCCAAGAGACTACATAATAAACGCCTTCCTCGATTTTCAGGCCCTCGCAAGAGCGACGAGGAAGTCAACTTAATGACATGCAGAGAAATTCTGCAAGCAAATAGGAGAATCAATGACAGTCTTCTCCAAACAAAACTAGAGGAAGCAGAGGCAGCCATCTATAACAACGCCACCTCAGAGGTTTTAAAGGAAACCATGAGGCAGCACATGGCGGCTTATAACGAGTCTCTTGGCTTCGTCGAGCTGGACGAGGAAAGGACAGAACAAACGGGACACCCAACGTTTAAAGCCCCCCCCGACAACCCGATAGTCGTCACCGCTAGATGCACCAAGGTTATGCTGGACTACAGAATCCTAAGCAAGGCAAACGCCGTCTCGGGAGCTCAAGATCCGGAAGCACCTTGGAAAGACTGGACGGTGCTTACCATTAGATGGGTCAACGGGGTTCCGGGGTTTCGGCAAAACAACGTGGATCGTCAAGAACTTTAACACAGGGACTTTTTTAGAGACGTTGTAATCACCACAACAATAGAAGCGACGAAGGATCTTCGCGAAAAGTTTGCTAGTCGCGTCGGCGCCAGTGCAAATATCAAAGTGCGCACAATGGCTTCGGTATTGGTAAATGGGTTCAAAGAGCCAGACAAGAAGACCTGTACTCGGCTCATGGTCGACGAAGCCCTTATTAGCCACTTTGGAGCCGTTGTGATGGCAATGCGACTGCTAGCGAAGCTAAAGATCAGCAGGGTTGCTCATTGGTTACATCAACCAACTACCCCACATTGACCTGCACCTCTTTTCACAGTACACACGCCCAAACCTAGTGGCAGGCGTCAGTCAGGAACTGCTGTGTACGCATAGGAACCTGATGGATGTAGCATATGCTCTCAATGAAATATGCAGTAGCATATACTCTTCCTTGTGCATTCGTTGACTATCTAAAGATACTCTAACGCGCAAATATAGAAAACTCGTCCAGAAACGCTTTTCCTAGTCTATACCGGTTCTCACCATCCATGAAGCACAAGGACTAACATACGGGTCAGTCGTTTTCATGCGTACAAAAATGAGCAAGGTACAGCTGCATGACAGCGTTCAGCATGCCGTAGTGGCGTATTCCCGGCACACGGTCAGCTGTGTACTACACAGACGACTGTGACGATGCAGCAGGTCGCCTTATCCAAAAAGCCATGGCGGCATCAACCTGCAAGATAAGAGACTACAACCTTTAAATGGCAATTAGGAGAGACGCAGCGGTCGCAGAGAGACTAGCAAAGAAATAACACCTATTACCTAATAACCTTACACTCACACACACACATATATATATATATATATATATATATATATATATATATATATATATATATATATATACATATTTAAAAAAAAGTAATTAAAAAATCAATAAATATGAAATCACTGCTACAACTAACGGCGACAAACAGATCGAGGTTTTAAATTTCAGCGCTGAATGTTCCCTGAATCATAACAATTGATTATGGTCTTAAATGTTAATGCGGGCTACAGAACTTAAATGGGATTAAATCTGACGGATGATCTGTCTTATTATGATGCGTTCCATATATACGAATTAAGATTGTGCCGAAGATTTTAATTAAAGTTTTAGTACACAATATGGAATTCGACAAATTAAGTTTACTAATATAATTAATTATCTTGGTTCGAACCTTGATAATTAGGTTGTGGTTCAATACATTGTTTATTACTATTTTTCATTACCACACGGACATTTGCGATCGTTGATCTATCTGTTATACAATCAAATAGATATCACAAATCGACGTGTTTAATCTTTTAGTTAAGTTTAACGTGTTCTGTCACGTACTATGTCAAGCGGTCACAGATTGCGTGCTTCATTATCTACACAAATTATCTCACGGTATCTCAGATATAGGGATGATCAAATTATCTATAATTAAGGTTCATTTTAAAAGACGGTGAGTTGTTTTTTTTGTCTCCATGTGACCAAACGCGGAAGATGTGGTGGAAAGGATTTGTCATAGTGCAACTAATTGTGCTGCGAAATATTGTAAGTTTTAAAAAATAGTTTTATTTAATTTTATTTAAAGTATTTTATATAGTTGTTAAGATCTCTGCAGGACCGAAGGGGAAGAGGAGTGTTAGTTCTAAGAATACTTTTCCTTATTTATAAACTCAACGAGAGTCTATATGAGCAAACTTTGTCATATTTGATTTTTTAAAATATTAAAATGTAATAATTAAATATTTAATATAAAATAATGAAAAAATACCATAGTCGTGAAACGATGGAATAAGTGAAAACCGATACCGAATATTATCGACCTGATGAGCTACTGTAATATGTAGATATATTTATTTTTATAAATATCAATACCTTTCTCAAAACTATCAGTGTTCATTTTAAGTTCAATGTTTCAGATTTTCTCTCAGCCAATTATAGAGAGTGGGAACGATCGTAGTTCGAAGGCGATCAAATACGAAGAATGCTGCCCTTGTCCAGGTGCTAACGATGTCCCAAGTTTACGGGATGAGGACTTTATACCTTCCCAAATAAGTTCTATTGTTCGTTCGCCCGTAGATGAGTGCCCTTGTAGATTCATGGGGACCGACTCCGAGGGGTCTTCGTCAATATTCTATCCATCTTTCTTAAGAGGTGTACAACCGATGGAGAGGTTTGTTTCGTATAAGATATTTTTATTTAACTGAAAACTTGGCAAGCGAGTAGGCGTCTCACCTCATGTTCTGTGTTTGCCGTCGTCCACGGACATCTACAACACTCCGGCTCGGGCTCCGGTTACCTTACTCATCAGACGAATCGAATCGAATCGCAAAAATATTACACTGGTCTTCTGTGATGTCGTGATACTTCTCAGTGTCGAGTAACTTATTTTACGAATAGTTTGAAAATATAGTACTTAACACATAAAAAAATTTTCTAAAGATAACCTGTCTTAGGTATTAGCAAATTCATTCAAACGCCTAATTTATTATTTACTTCTTAATATACTTAAGAACCATTGGACTGTACTTTATAAACGATGAATGGCACGAGAAAAGTTTTTTTTAATTTTAATCATTTAAGTTTTTTTTTTAATTTTAGTGCACGGGATTCGAAACAGGGGCTAAAACCACTACTTCAACCTGAAGTAGGTCTCGCATCATCCGTTTTGGAGACGTTGAAGGAAGCTACCGACGAAGAATATAAGGAAGCGTTAGCAAGAGATGCCTCGAAGATCGCACTAAAAGCAGCCGAACCTAACTTTTTAGATGCCGAACATGATTCGACAAGGAATTCGGTAACTATTGTCATCAACCCAAGAGACTTAGACGACGGTTATGATGCTATTCCCGAAGCATCGCATGTTCACGAAACAAGGTGTATTCACAGTCCATTGGGAAGTTCGAATTCTCCAAGTAGGCAGCGCGTAGCTCTTCCGCGATTATCGAATAAGTATCTATTAGTACCTAAACGAAAAGTTAAAGTACCTCTGCATAACTCATGGTTTGATATGGATAACAGTCCTAGTAATATACACGAAAGCTTTGACTTTAAAAATGAAAACCATCCAGGTAGCAGGCTGAAAATGAATCCTTTATCGCTTTATGGGCTATCGAATAAAATGCCTGAGAAAGTAGAAGGTATTAGGGATTCCTGGCCCAATTCTGCTACAAAACTACGAAAAATATCTCCAGAAAAGTGTGATGATGTATATCCAATAACTGAATCCAATATTACTCCTATTTTTACATTAGCAACATTAAAGAATAAATTGCGTGATTTAAATGAAATGAGAAATGCGAAACGTCTAAAAAATAACCTCCAAGGAAGCTTGTTTAAAAATAAGTTCAATATGATTAATAATGAGCCTGATGACTCAGTCTCGGAATTACCATTATTTAAGTTACCAACCCTTGATTCAGTTTTCGACAAGCAAAGTCCTCTCGCTAAAAAAGGACTTCAACTAAAAGATGTAGAGATTATTCCTCCACGGAAAACGAACATTGAAGACACGAATAGAAATAATAAGAAATACATGGATTTAAAAGTTGCTGGCACAGACACCAAAGCCGATATTCTTATGATGCCCAAAGCTAATGATAAACAGAGCAGCAATGAATGCGCTGTGATTAATTCTATCAGCGTTTCAGATGAATATTTTTCAGACGATTCAAAGGAAATTGAACCTAAATCTAAAGAGCCTGATATTAGTACTACTCCTGCAGTTCAGTCCCTCATTCAAGATGAAACTGAAAAAACAAGTTTAGAAAACGGTCCAATGGGTGTAAGTGAATCTGTGTGTGTTATAACTGAAATACCAGATAACGATGAACAAGATTTCGAGAACGAATGTAGAATTAAAACAGATTTTGAAGATAAAAGCTCTGAAATTAACGATACAAAGAACGACAAAGAAGAAAAGATACTGGATTCTGCCCCTGAATCGAGTAATGTTAAGCAAAATACATTTCAACAAGAGGAAGGAACACAAAATGTATATTGGGATACAGAAACCAGTGAGAGAGATAAAGATACTTGTTATCAAGAAAGACTTTCAACAGTTGACCCTAACTATTTACCTACTAATACTGCTGAGGAAGTAAAGAGTCTTAGCTCTGTACGACCCAATGAAAGTAGCCGTCATTCGTCATTTAAGGATGATATATTAAGACGATTAGAAAACTTTCGAAACGCAATAAAGTCAAAATTGGAAGATACTCCTAAAAACTCACAAGTGATATCAAATACATCTGTTAACTATAATATAACAAATGCTAATCTAATAAGCGAAAAACATGTTACAATACAAGATTTGCAAAGACTGTCAAATGCCCTGCTAAGTCAAGAAAATTTATCATCAGATAAAACAGCAGTTGTAAAAGAAATGGTTAATGTTTTAAGCAATAGCAAAAACTATGAAAATAACGACGTAATTGGAAATGAAAGTCTTTCAGAAATGGATTATCCTGGAACACAGCTTGTAAATATCGCAATACAATCTCCAAACTCGTCAATTTCTAATTACGACGATACAATGAATAATATATTAAATTCACCTATTGAAAATTATGTAGGAAATTCGGAAAATTTATACATTTGTGATACAATTTCTAATGAAAATTACGACGACGTAGAAGGAGATGTTTCAATAATAAATGAAATGTCATCTCAACCTAGTAATCTTAATTTTGACACTTTAAAACCAGAGCTCAGTGATAACCAATTACGATCTCTAGCACCACAGGATATAGTGCAACCATCATTTATGTCACATGAAAATAATTTTAACAGACCATTTAACATACCAAGCCTTGAAGAAATCAAAAAAAGTATAACAAATATTATAGATGCTGGACAAAGAGAAGAAAAAATATTGGGTTCAACCGAGTCTGACCCATTAAACGAAAGCTCAAACATCAATTCCGTGCGGTCTTCTAATACGAATTTAAGGTCAGAATTACCTAGTCTCTTGGAAGACCACATATATAAACACAGACCCTTTCAAAATACTCAAAGTAATCTTTTAGTGCCGAGATTAAATATAAATTCATATAAAGCATCGCCAGAGATTGCACCTTTAAAAAAATATATGTCAGAATCAATGTTAAGTAATCGGGCTGGCAAGATCGGTAACTCGCTTACTTCAAGTACTGATAAAATTAAATCTTCATGGAAGTCTAAACCAGATTTAGACAACATAAAAAGATTATTTCCATTGAATACACCAAATATCTTTAAAGAGATTCCAATTCAACTTCCCAGAACAAGTGCCGCTGAAAGCCCTCTTTTTACAGAAAGATCATTAAGTTTATTAAAAAACGACCTTAAGTCTTATGCTGATGATTCGCTTAAAATGATTCAAAGCAATTTTAGAGAAACAGCACATGGGAACCAAGGATTACTGAGCAAAGGTATAGCGGATTCTAATGATATTTTTGAAACAGTAGCAAGAAAGCGGGAAGATATGAAAGAAAAATTACAAGCTTTACACGTAGACTTTAGTGACAGGCTTGCAACAATTCATAACAAATTGCTTGATCAAACTAATTTGCAATCTGTAAAAACTCCTGTATATAAGGACAATAGTGAGAAATTTAAATTACCAGCATATAGATACGGAAAGGGAAGAAATGTACAAAATTTGTTCCCACAGAGATTGGCCAACAAAGAATCAGAATCGCTTATCAAGTCTAAACATTTACCGAAAGAAGATCATAAGGCCAATATACAAAAAAACGTACTTTTTAAAGACTCCCAAGATATTTATCAATACAAGGGTAACGATAACGATAGAACCATGAAACAAAACATGGAAACATTGAAAGATAATATTTCAAATGCAAAAAAGAAATCAGATTTATATAAAGAAAAAAAAATTGATGAATTTAAAAATAATCTTGACAAGCAGCGGGGTCTTACATCTTTAAGAAATAGTAATATTAAAATATCGTTCTCCACAACTACCATGACGCCGGTGACAGGCCTGAAAAAACTTGCACAAAACCATGCATTAAAGTTTCCTTTGGATACAATGAAAGAAAATAGTGACGCTATAATTCCAAGATTTAAAGATATTTTCGACGCTTATAGATTAAGGTTAAAGAATGACCGAGACTCCAATCATTCACCGAGCGAATTAATACCTTTACGTATTCATTCTATGAAAGAATCACCGAATGGAAATAAAGCGATGAAAAGTTCACAAAGTGAAGCAGATAAAAATTCGTCATTGCTTATAAATACAGTTCCAAAATTCAAATCTAAAATGGGTCAGAAGCAAGCGGATCCTAAAAGTTCTTTGGCAGAGCCGGTTGCTACATTAACAAAGGAAACTCCATTCGTTACAAATTTAAGGGAGGCGTTACGATCTAGGTTGACCCATATTGCGTCGGTTACGAAGAATCCTCCAATTAACAAACATGACGTTAAACCTACCATAGATGCGGTGGAATCACCTTCAGAGAACTTTAAGACAATTGAAACGCTAACAAATCCTTTAAAAGAGAATACGTCATATAAATGCACAATGATGTGCGTAAAAGATTCATGATTCGTGAACAATCTTATGTAAATTAAACACAACATAATATAAGTCTGTAAATATAGTTAATAGATTTTTATACGTTTTTACTTGCTGTAAATATAATAAAGTGATTTAAAGTTTGTCTGTCGTGTTGTTTAATCAGTCAGGCAGTCGCCAGCTAACCACTACGTACATACTCGTACATCGTCATATGGATAATCACGTCCATATCTACGTGCTGCGGGAGCTTTATAATCAAATGTAAATCGAAGTCTCTCTTGTGGACACAGGGGACATAAAAAAAACATTCAAATAACGATAAACAATTTTGTAAAAGTTGTCACAGTGAAAAAACAAATGACAGTCCAGCAAATTAAAAAGTAACATGTTCCGAGTTCCATTTCTCAAAGTCAGTAATTGTTATTTAAATTTAGGTAGTTGGAGTTTTGGAGGCTGTGATAGCTCAGTCGCTGGTCACTTTGATCCAATATAGTCTACTCAAGCATTCTGAGTTCAAATCCTAGCGCTAGCACCAATCTAACAATAAGCACGTGCTCACCCATCACTTGTTCAGCGGTGAAGAAAAATATGGTGACAAAACCTACATAGTTACGAAATAGATATTAATAATATAATAAAAAAAATATTTCAAAAATATCTGAAGTCTGTCTGCCAATCGGCGTTGAGGTCGCTTGGTGGACTATACCCTAATACCCTCTGTACAGAGGAGGCCTTTGCCCGGCATTGGGATATATTTAGGCTGTGTTTATTTTTTTCTTATTGTACCAGTGGCCAGTTTAAAACAGAAACATTATTTTGTCCTACGTAACGATTGCGTGATTTACCCAGTAAACGTAACAAATAGATCAGTTACAAAACAATAGTATTCAACGTACGACTGTAATGGTTTCCAAGAAAGCCTTGTTAAATAAAAATTAAAGAAATAGATATAACGCTAGTATAAATACATTTACTTTCATAATTTAGTTGCATTATCAAAATTTGAAGACTCTTTTTTTGTCTTCGTTTCCTTTTTAATTATAGTTCAGTTTTATGTTTCACATTGAAATTAGGTACTAAATTGTATTCATCAATTAGCTGGAGTTAGTTTTGTGCGAGTTGGTTTTTGTGAATATGAAAATTTACGCTTTAGTGAGTGCCTTTATGTTGATTTGTGGTTTAAAGTGTTTAGGTGAGTGTATTTATTATCAAATAAGCAATGGTGCTGTATAATTGATGTAGGGCCATGCAACAACTTCCGTTTCGGTAGGAATGGAAGGGCTCATTCGGGGAAGTAGCACAGCCTCACGGAAAACTAGCATGAAGTAGAAGTATAACATTTTTGCATACATCAGTGAGGTAACTCGGGCACATTTTTATTAGCAATGTTTTAAAAAAAATCAAATATTAAAAAAAAAAGAATATTGTTTTTAAAAATTGGCAATGCCTTCAGTATTGCAGATGACCATGGGCGACTTTAATCTCTTACAATCAGAAGCAAATGCCAGCTCTCTTGCCAATTTTTAATACAAAAACAAGATTCTGCAAAATAACTGCCCGTCCATGGAAACTTTGACCTTTTTAATTTGACTTCAGTGCAGAGTGACGCGTGGTTTTAGTGTACTGTCGCAGGAGCAAAGTTGTTTAGAATTGCTTCATAATTTTTATCCAGTTACACAATATTTTATAACAGTGTACATTTTTCAGTAGTATAGTGCGTAGTGTACATTTATTGCTTATTCGCAACACGCGAAAACGTTTTTGTACAGCATTTCTAAATAATTTTTGTTACACAAATATAGCATTTGATTTAAAGCCAAATTCAATATAACAGTGAACCTCATATACATTCGCATTTAAGCAAAGTGTGTAGTAAACATACGGAGCAATTTTACGTTTCTTTTATTTTAACATAATAAGTCACATTGTTCTATAGTGGAGAAGGTGACTCCGTGTCACAGTTGTCGAGGGATTGGCTTCGGTGTCGGGGGTTCGTGGATTCTATTCCCACACGCGACAACTATTTGTGTAACCCCTACAGTAAGGGGATAATGTGTTCGAAGGGAACACTTCAATAGATCTTTCTAGGTAGTCCAATCCCTTCCACACAAAAATACAATACAATACAAAGTGTTGAAATAAAAATGTGAACACAAATTCTTCCATTGTATTCGTCACGTTGTTGATGGTGGAAGTTATCTACTTTCTAGAAATTCATTCACCATCGCATGACTATATTTATATATGCTGCAATATGTTGTGATTCCTAAATACTTAGAAGGCAATTGTATTTTAGCGCTCACGAGAGACAAGGAAGGCGTGACTAGATGGATTAGCGGAAAGTCTGCCGTGTGCGTATGCAATGATACATACTGCGATACGATAACCAGAGATGTACCAACTAGGGGGAGGTACATCTCTTATACGACTTCTGAGGTTTGTTATGCAACAGTCTTTATACAGGTTAGAGTATCCAAAATCATGCTGTTCCAGCCAGCGTGTTTTCTTCTTGTATATCATAATATAAATTTACTAGCTCAGAACATAAGTTAAAAGCATGGTCCGAACCTTTGATAAGAGCATTTAATTGACGCTATTTACATCATAATGTCAAATATTTAATTAAAGTAATAAAGAATAACTACTTCGAATGAGTTACTACTACGATATACGACACTATTACGATTTTTTTTGTGAGATGGTGGCAAGTTAGTTGGCGGTTCACCTGATGTTAAGTGATATGCATCTGTAACTACCGTATGATTGCAGATGCGTTACCACCTTTTAGTATAGTGGGCCCCGGATACCTCACTCGCAAACGAAACGAGGAGTATTCCACTTATCGTCGGTTTTCTGTGCGGTGTGAGGTTGTGGTACTTACTCGGACGGACCTGCCCATTCGTGCAACAGTTTGTAATAAAGACTATAAGCTAGGGCTAACCCTACTTTAGGGTTAAGCATTACACCACATTAGAGAACTCCAGCGCAATCTACGCCTGAATAAAAAGACAGTTCAAGTACACACAAGGTATGTACAATGGATTTTCACACGTGAAAAAAGAAAAAGATATTTAGTAAAAAAATAGGGAAAGAAAGAAGTACCTAACGTTGATTTTACACATTTTATTTTTTTACTTTTACATTATGATAGTTTCGAAAACATATAACACGTAAAATAATTACTATGTGTGTGTGCGTGTGTATGTATTTGCAGACACATAGATGAGAGCCAATGTAATTTCACCACTACCTATTAATCACATTGCATCAAAAGTGTACAAGTTTAACATCTTTTAAAAATATTTATATAACGTAGGAACTGTATGGACGGAAAAAGAGTTTTTTAAAAATCCAAGTTCACTAATGTTGATTGGGTTAGAATGAAAGGAAATAACAATATCTTCTAAAAATTAATTAATGTCAAACCTTTTTTCAGAGTGGATTGAGGTTTAAGAAAAAAAGCGGATCATTTAAAAGTAACGCGGCAAGTAAGTGGAATTATTGTGAAACTGTATTTTAAAGATGTTCCAGCTGTGTTACCCATGACTCGAATGAAGAAATTTGGTTATCTCAATCTCAATACGAAATGAAAAAGTTATTCCATGTCACTTCTTCGGTCAGGTTAGCTTAATAATGCAACAGGGGCTGCTACTCTTATTTTTCGGTGCTGCGGGATTCGAACCTGTGTTTTCTGTTTTCGTTTGTACATAAACGACGAATGGCGTAGTCGGTAGTGTACCTGCCTTCTGCTGTGCCAGAGGGTGTGGGTTCGATCCCCACAACTGGATAAATATTGTGTGGTGAGCATAGTGTTTTTCTAGTATCTGGGTGTTTATATATGTATAATGTGTATTTATTTACAAAAGAAAAGTATGTTTAAGTATGTCTATCAGTTTTCTAGTACCCGTAGTACAAGCGTTGCTTAGTTTGGGACTAGAGAATGTTGTGTAAAAAAATGTGTCCTAAAATATTTACTATATTTATTTTATTATAAAGATCATGATCAAGATCATTTTAAGGTTGAGCTCTAATGCAGAAACAAGCACTGTAAATAAAATTTAAAAAAATTATCCTTCACTGAATATTTTATTAACACTCTGAAAACTGCACATGGCGGTTTCTCTGTTAAATTTGAACGTTATTGGCTCATGTTTACTGTGTTAGGAGACTTTCCGCATTTTTTTCAGAGAATACCGAATACGTGTTGGAGTTGGATCCCGGCACCAAGTACCAGACGATAGAGGGTTTCGGCACAGCGGCCACAGGCTCCGCTGGTTACAACCTAAAGAGTCTTCCGAGCGCTGCGCAAGAAAACTTGATCAAGTAATTGTGTAGTTTTTACCCGACTGAGCCAGAAGGAGGGTTATGTTTTTCGAGAGTATGTGTGTATGTATAATTGTTTGGCACGCTCTGCAGCATGAACGGCTGATGGATTTTAGCTTGAGAGGTGTCGTTAGATTCGTATTCACTGTGAGTGTTACGTAATAAGGTACATACATCGGAATTTTTTAGTATATTTCTTTATTTAAACATGGAATGTATGTACTGGTGTCCTTTTAAATAAATAAATTTATTTGATTTTTTTGCTCCAAAGAGTGTTGCACACTGATTCCATTCTTATTAACTGTAGTAATAAACAGACAAAAATTAAACGTGTAATTAATGATATATTCATCATAAAATGTCTAGCTTATTTTAATTTCTCAAACCATACAATACATGTCAGTTGTTTGCTTTTATGGTGCAGCATAATTTACACCTATGCAAATATTTGCGTCAATGCTTGCATAGGTGTACAATTTGACTTCGACTTAAACATTAAAAACAATACATTTTTAAGTTTCGCATGATGTGTTAACAGTAAGTTAACAGGCTGTTAAGTTAGTTACCATGTGTTATCCTATGTTCAATAATATATATGTCACCGAGTGAATTTATATTGAAAAAAAAAATTGCTCTTAATTACACTTTGCTCGTATTTCGTATGTTAAAAGTTGGCAAACAAACAGGTGGTTCACCTGATGTTAAGTGATCACCGCCCATGGATGCGCAACCAACCTGTTAAAAAAGTGGGCCCCGGTTACCTCACTCGCCAGGCGAAACGCGAAAGCATAACACTTCCACTTTACGCCGATCTTCTGTCAGGCCGTGGTTACTCCCCGGAGTCTGTCCATTGGTGCAACAGCCACAGCTGCCGCCCAAAACCACATATTAACTAACTGACACAGCTTATAAAATAATGTAGTAGTAGAGATTGTATCAACTCGATGGTCCGTAGGTGAAATATCTCCGGTTTAAGATAACGCACGCATGACGTTATGCAAGGCCTTACTGAATGTGGAGGACCGTATCTAGTTTGTAGGCTCCGGCTAGCCCACGAGTTCAGCGTACGACGAAATAAATTTTATATGTATAAATAGTCTACGGACTGAAAGCAAAAGTAAAAAAAGTGCGAGTCGGATTCGCGCACGAAGGGTTCCGTCTATAAAAACAGTAAACAAGTCATCTCTGTTGTATGGGAGCCCCTCTTAAATATTTTTTTACTCTGTTTTTTAGTATTTGATGTTTGTTGCGGCAACAGAAATACATTATCTGTTGAAAATTTCAACTGTCTAACTATCTCTTCTTCTTCTTCTTTGATTATCTAACTATCTCTGTTCATGCGATACAGCCTGGTGACAGCTGGACAGATAGGCAGACCGACCGACCAGCGGAGACTTAGTAATAAGGCCCCGTTTTATCCTTTGGGTACGGAACCCTAAAAACAAATGTTTGTTTTGCACAATGACTTGTAGCGTTATGAAATAAAGCTGACGCGTTGTTTACTTGAAAAAATGAGGGTAGTACTTTCTGCTTTCGTTTCAGATCATACTTTGGAGTTGAGGGTTTGGAGTATAACATGTTGCGAGTGCCGATTGGTGCCTGCGACTTTTCATTGAGTGAGTTCGCTTATAACGAGTTGCCAATCGACGACTACTACTTGACCAACTATACACTTACCTGCGAAGACTTGGAGTATAAGGTATAATGTAGACATAAGTCATAAACACTCCATCGAATAAGCCCAGGGCTTCTGAAGTTTCGCCACATATCCGCCTCGATGTTCAACACGGACGTATAAATAACGTTATTGTTATAAACGTAGATGATTTTATTCTATAAAGTATTCATAATTTGGTTAGATTAAATCCAAAAATAAGTAATAAAATGTGAGAAAAGAAAGAAGGGTCTCCTGAGCACATTCGCTACAGGACCAGTGTTGCTTTTATCAGAACCTGATTTCAACAATAAGCAGGACATAGTTACCTTATCATTAATAATCGAATTTTACTTAAAATACACAATTAAAATAGTCGTAAATAGAGTCATAGAGTTTATACAAATTTATTAAATATTCTTTTATCAAAGAAGCCTGATAAAAGCTGCACTGGGTCACCCAATAAAGCAATAAACAACTCACAAAGTTAATAAATAAACAACTCGAGTTTGACTAGTTTTATTGAAGATGAACGAGCAGAAAGACAAGACCATGGATTATAACTCTTTTGCTGATCCCGTAAAGAAAACTGGCAATTTTGAAAACGATTTTTTCAGATACCGATTATAAAACGAATAATGGAGGTGTCTCAGACCCCTGTGCATATCATCGGCTCAACGTGGTCACCGCCAAACTGGATGAAATACTTTACGGAACACAATCCCACTTGCGGCTACCTTAAAAACGAATATTATCAGACCTATGCTGATTACCATTTGAAGTAAGAATTGAACTAACCAATGATAATATCCATTTCCCTTGGACACTACTAGACTGCGGTAAGGCCATGCAACAGTTTTCGCTGTTGCACGAATGGGCAGGTCCGTTCGGCCTCACAGAAAGTCCGCCGGGAAGTGAAAGTGTATACTACTGCGTTTCGTTGGGTGAGTCAGATAGATACACTTTATAATAAGGTGGTAACGCATCTATGGACGTTGCAAATGTCAATGGGTATTGGTTTTAATGGGTATTTGAGCACTCCCATAAAAATAAAAATAAAACATTATTTGAGTTGGATTTGTGGAGCGAGCGAGGAAAGAAAGTGTGAATCCCAACACTGATTCAGACAGTTGATTTTATCATCAAAAACCATTGTTTGCACTTTGCTGCCGCAGATAATGAAGTGCTGAAGCCTTTCTGATATCGATACGAGTATATCGTGTATATAATTATGGCTGAGCTTCATAAACAAATTTAAATTTTATCAAAGCTGAAGTAGCCGTGATAGCTCAGTGTCGGGGCGCTCGCCTTTAATTCAATGAACTCGAGCAACCTGAGTTCGATCCCCGGTGCCGGCAACAATGAAGTTTTTAACTTTAAGTGCTGACTTATCACGTGCTCCGCGGTGAAGGAAAACATCGTGAGGAAACCTGCATATTTTCGAAATAATAACAAAATATACATATATTTCGAAGATATGTGAAGTCCGCCAATCCGCAGTGGGGCCGCGTGGTGGACTATGCCCTGATACCCTCTGTATTGAGGAGGCCTTTGCCCAGCAGTGGGACATGTATAGGCTGTTACTTTACTTTACTCTCTGAAGTAGCTTCGGCATGAGTGCAGCGTATTAATAAAGTACACATTTTTATAAATCAAACAGAGAATTAATATTACATAAAATCCTGTAAATGCATTTCTGTATTATGTTATACGTATATACGTATTTTAGATTTTTAGAACAGTATGCTGGAAAGGGGATACCAATTTGGGGTATTACAACAACTAATGAGCCCACAGTGGCCTTTAACGGTATACCGGCGAAAAGCTGCATTGGATGGACAGATAACCAGATGGTAAGTATCACACTTTATATTTCACAAAGCACTCAATGTTTAAACAGATATCAATAATACTATTTATTTTTCTTTGAACCTTTTTATTTTACATCAAATTAACGTCAATTAGAATTTATACTAATATAATAAAATCAATCATACCTACGGATATTATGTTTTGATAAAATTAATAATTTTATTGCAATAAATTGATAATAACAATTAAAGTCATTGTCAATCATAACAGCACATATTTTTATTACAATTTAATAAAGCGTAAATTTTATGATTAAAATAAATTGCAATATTATAGTATAACATAACCTTTTTAAATTAAATCATTTTAGGGTAAGTGGATATCGGAAAATCTTGGCCCAACCATACGCAATTCTACCTTCAAAGATACCAAAATACTCGCGCTTGATGACCAGCGATATACAATTTCTAACGACTTCTACGATGTAAGTGAATCACTTGGTTACATTTATTTTATATGTTTATCATTAATCTCATTTTAAATAAAACAATTAATGTTGTTGGTACTAAAATTAAAAAATATTTAAATTAAAAAAGTTAAATTCCTTGTAAACTATTATAGGCACATAAAAAATGTATTTTTTAAAGAAGGGAAAATAGAGGAATATTTCTATCATCTATACTATGATAAAAGAGTAGAATCGGCGCGTCTGTACGTGAATATATTTATGAAAAAATGAAATAGGGTATATATAAAAAGAGTATTGGTTCACTGAAAAAAAAGTAATGTGCATACTCACAAAACATAGGAACGTTTTTACGGGGTTTTTGACAGCGTGTCAGTACAACTTCCTCGCAATATTTAAGTATCGTTTGATCGTAATCAGTTTACTTAAACAGAATATATACGTTATTAGCTACTGGGATCAATTGGAATAGTTTTTAATTTTTTCAAATGACTGTAGCTCCCAATACAAAAAGTTACCTTCCATACAAAATGTGCTATCAGTGATAAAATTTTAACCACGATAACGTGAATTTTCAGTTTCATAATAAAAAATCAAACTTTTTTTTGTTATTTATTAACAAATTCTTCAATTGATAGAATTACAGTCCAGCATAGGTAAGTTACGATGAGATAAGGAATTAGTTCCCGTTATCAAAAGCTAGATGGCGTTGTTAAATTCATAAAATGCGCTGACCATTTGGATTTTAATAACAATAATGCTAATTTCTTCGATCGAGATTTAAACGATAGGTACGATTTTAGTTTTACTCGGTATACGGATATTCAGCCGCGTACTCGGCGGGCCAATTGTAGGGGGCTGCAAATTACTGGGTTTTTTTAGTAGCGTTGCTTGCCTTTCGCCTCTCGCTTATTTGCGTAGGCGATATTCCATGAAAAATATAACAAATCAAGCGGGCCTGATAAGTAGGTACCATTCGTCGGCACCACAATATCATGTACTAACTTTCTTTGTTTAATTTTTTGTGCCTTCCAGCGAGTCTTTTCTCTTAATCTTTAATGAGCCTAGGACGACCAACGGACAAATCTGTCACTGTTTAGGAATATAGATTTGGTTAGGCTAGGATATTCGTATATTATTTTGCTTTGTCGTTTGGAAATTATATTTGTTTTTTATCACTGACTCACAAATTGTATCTGATATATTTTTTGTACCTAATTAATATAAGTACTTATTTTGTAGTATTTTCTAAATAATTTAATCAACTTTTTAGTATTTATTAAAAAAATGCCTCGATAGAATTTAAAACAATGAGAACGATTTGATCTCAACAATCTATTGAAAACCAAACTTAGTGCCTATACCCATTTCGCCATAGACACCATTCATTATCTCGCACATAGGAGTCAGTTATAGGTTTTAGACATTGAAGTAAAGTAAAAAAGCAAACTGAAAAAATTTTGACTAAGGACCCGTAGAGGCCGTTGACAGAACACTACAGTACATATTTACCTTATGTAATAAACATACCTAGCAAGCCATAATTTAATTTAATTTATTTTACAGCTGTTTATTTTAAGCCACATTTTAATTTTTTTATTTATTTTTTCAGTTTTTCAATATTTATAGTTTTAATTTTATATTTATTGTTATGATGTTCAACTATACTTGCTGTGCTTATCTTTAAGTTATTGTTACACTTATACAAGTACTTATTGTTTCTTTTCTTTTTTATTCTTAAGATACAGTGTAAACAGTTGTTGATAGGCCTTTTAAAAATAAAATAAAATAATACCGAGATGAAAGGCCAATGGGGAACGTCACAGTTGTTTTCTCTGGAGAATGGATATCCTTTCAGAGAAAAATGGGCAGGTGTGTCTTCCGAACATACTTGGTACATTCGTTTTCTCCGAAAACAAACTGATAAGATCAGTATTTGGAGAACTTTCAAGTTAAACACTTTAAAGTTCTGGTTCTCTAGTATTTGGAGAACTTTCAAGTGTTTAACTTGAAAGTTCTCCAAATACTGAACTTAAAGTCTAAATATAAGCAAGAATTTTTCTAATGATATCAGCACCAAACCATAAATTAGCCGGTTGAGTTTCTAAGTTCGCTTACTGCAAGTGGCCTTTCTGCATATAAAATCCCACGCAATGTCGGTGTAAAATGGTGCAATGGCGGATTCCAATTTCAACTTCATACAAACTTAACTTCATATAAACGTAACTTCCCAATAAAGGCACATAATTCAAGCTGAGGTTGTCACTGGGTGTGGCTCAGACATAATTTTTTTCGCGAATACAACTCGCTTGATCACTGACCATGGCGCAGTTGTCAAGCCATAGCCTTCGGCGTGGGTTCGATTCTCACAAGGGACAATTATTTGTGTGACCTATAGTAATTGTTTCCCAGAAGGAAAAACTATGACACACACTAGCTTTTCGCTCGCGGTTAATCCGTATGTACCACTTTTTATATCGTGCTTAAAGTAGTAGCCTTCCTCAATATATTGGCTATCTAACAGTGCAAGAATTTTTCTAATCGGACTAGTAGCCGCTGAGATAAGCGGGTTCAAACAAAAAGACAGATGCTAGCTAGACTGAAAGCATCTGTTTGATAAATGTATCTCATAAACTGTGATATTTAGACAGTTCAAATTTTCACAGATGATGTCTTTCTGTTGACGCTATAACAAAAAATAAAGGATAGAATTTTTTTTTTAAGTAGGGCTCTTATACAACAGACATAATTTTATTGCCTTTTTTATAGATGGAACCCTTCGTGCACGATAGCGACTCGCATTTGGCTGGTTTTTAAATGTAAATAATCTAACAATCATCATCATTTTACAGACCATAATAAAATTGTAGTAGTTAACTAGTGTATATTTTCATCCAATTCAGCTGTAGCGATTACTTTTTTTTTAAGTTGATATAACTTTTTTTATTTATGAACCGATTTGAATAAAACTAACACTAAATGTTAAGTGAAGTAGTACAATGCATTAGTGAATGTTGCACCCAAATCGGTTAAGCAGTTTCTGAGATTAACGCGCACAAACGCACATACACACACAAAAATGTTAACAACCATTGTTTTGGGTTCTATTGTGTTGATAAAGTGGGATCTTTAATAATAGTTTTTCTCAAATATCTTCCATGTACAGACAAAGACAAGTTACATTTTTAGTATACGTATAGATATCTGTCTGTATCTGTATGAATTTTGCTTTCATCCTATTCCACGCGGACGTAGTCGGGAGCAACACTAGTTACGAATATGTTCATGATATGTTTGTTTCAACCAAAATGATCTTACTTTCCAGATGATCAAAGATCATCCAAAAGTTCTGGACTACATAGATGGCTTAGCAGTCCACTATTACGATGACGTGAGCGTTCCGGTGCAGGTCCTTCAGCAGTTTCAGAGAACATATTCTGACCTATTTGTCATTTTGACTGAAGCCTGCGAAGGTATACTTTTATCATCTCAACGCCTAATTAAAAAAAATATTAATGTTTTGAAACAACATTTTAAATTTGCAAACAGATTGCTAGATTGATATTGTCATTCCACGCTTTGTAATTAAATCACACATCAGCAGTCATTTTTAGTTTCTATGGAACTTTTTTTACATGTCACGCGTGCATTTTGAATCTGTATATATGCGTATAATGAGCATTTATACTTTATACTGCTGAGGATTTAACATTAACATTTGGATGACCAAATTAAACTGTAATATTTTTATACTAATTTGAAAAAAGTACCAAAATAATATGTGTAATAAAAGTGTATAGAATTGATGAAACTGTGTAGAAAATTTTTTTTCAGGATTTCAGCCTTTCGAAAAGAAAAAAGTGGATTTAGGTTCCTGGGAAAGAGCTGAAAGATATATTAGAGATATTCTTGAAGTATGTTCATTAATTTTCATTTTAATATTACATTTAAATTATTTTAAACTTTAATCGGATTTGTATCCAGAAATAATATTCTGTGGAATACTTACAGTCCTAGTTTTAGAAAATGCCAAATTATGGGACTTAAAATATCGTGTTGTTCTATGTTTACTAGTCATCTGATAAACATGTTTACACATAATTACAATTTTTATGTCTATAACATATAGATATCTTAAAATCAGCCTATATAACAGTATGTTCGTCATAAAATATTTTTAAAGTAGTCAATCAAATCAAATCCACACCTTCTAGTGCAGGGGCAGGTGCACTATCCGCTACGTCAGTCGGATCCATGTGAATTATTGTTTCACAGGAATATTAAACGTTCCATTATTTAAGAATATTTCAATTTAACTGTCATACTTTTATCTTGGCGTTAACTAAAAATGAGTTTGAGTCCCAAATATTACACGACAAGTTCTACCTTTCCAGAATCTAAACAACAACGTAGTCGGATGGATCGATTGGAACTTCTGTTTAGACCAAAACGGCGGTCCGAACTGGACAGGGAATAACGTCGATTCGCCCATAATTGTTGATGCGGAGAAAGGAGAATTCTTTAAGCAGCCAATGTTCTACGCTATGGGGCATTTCTCGAAATTCATCCCACGGGGCTCTCGAAGGATTAGAGTGAAAGAGACCTGTTCGTCAAAATATATCGATGAAGTCGCATTTCTGACGCCGCATAATACAATAGTTCTGATTGCTTACAACGAGTTAGTATCATACCATATATACCAATATTATAATAATCATGTCCAAACAGTTTGTTCCTCTTTTCAAACGCCCCTACTATTGCAAAAAAAAATCGTGATAAGAACGCAAGTTTTAAAAACAAATTAGTTTCGATGCATGCGAATAAGTGTAATCTCGAATTTAATAATACGTTTACCAATTTACGATATCGATTATACTTAACATTTATAAATTATCTACATTCTAATTTCTTGAATTATTTTACACCATTTTTCACATCCCGTTTGTTTCTAAAATCTTAACTCAACTTACATTGCCAGCTCTCAATGATAATATAGTCAAAGATGTAACACTAGCGCGTAGAAATAGAGGCACTCAAATTACACCTATTGGTGTATTTGATTGTACTGCTATCTCTTTCCATATCATACGTTTTATATCATCTGTCACATTCACTTTTATATGTCATATAAAGTAAAGCGGAGCAATTTTTAAACGCCGCGCAGGATGTGCAGGATGCGCGCAGGATGTGTGGAGCACTCATCAACCTTTACAGTTAGCGCGGAACGCATCAAACTCGGCTTAAGAATATTGAATTTTTCTTTACATACACACATATACGAGTATGTAAAGAAAAAATTATGTAACGTATAAGTTATGTTAACACCAGCTACTCTTTGTATTTACTTTAGGTTTCTTTGTTCAAATGTCTTTTAAAGTAGATTGGAATATACGCTACCGACGATTGCCAATTTTTTCCGATAAAACTGATCTGATTTACATATTTATTAATTGGTTTCAGCAACGAAAACGCCACAAGCGTCAGTGTGGTGTTAGGCGGCAGGCAAGCAGCTTTGAAACTGGAAGGCAAATCAATCACAACTGTCGAATTTAACAACGAAGAATGCAAATGGTTTGTCAATGGTTAGCCTAAGAGACGATAAAATTTAAATAGGCCTTTTTTATCCTGTGTTTAGATTTCTAATCATTTTAATTCGGGAAATATTTTAAATTTATCTAATTTTTGATTATTTAATGATTTCAGTAGTCCCTGCACGTCAGTTATCCTTCACGTAAAAGCGAATCCAGTCCTGCTGAAATTCAAGACGGGTCGTATTACAATAGAAATTAAATGAATTATATTTTGTTTTCTATTACATTTATTTACCTATGTATTTTTAAATGATATCAATCAATAATGTTATACATTGATAGTTTAAGTAATAACTTCTAGAAAAGTTTTTTTTTTACATTAAAAATTGTGTTAAAAATGACAAACAGCTTGTTGTTGTATAAAACCAGCATATAGGACGAATATTTACTGAAACACACAAGTCCTTTTATTCGCTTGGTCAGTGAGTGTACTAAATATTATGCAATAGCATCGATAGGATCAATAGATCCATAAATAATTTTGCAACATTACTATTCCTTCATTTAAATTCATTAGTTTGTCCATTAAGTGTATTGAATACGATACGTTACTAACGTATAATAGTAAAACTATTTTATATTTAATTGTATGCAATGTAAGCAATTTTTAACATCATTAAGTTATTAAGGCAATGATTGTACGTGAACGCAAAATAAATTTTCTAGTTTAATGCTTTCCAAAAGTAATTATTTTTAAAATAAAACAAACTGTTATTTTGAAGATAAATCAGATCAGGGTTTTTTGTACGGATCACTTTTGCTTTTAGCTATTGAGTAAAGGGACTCGCTTAAAGCAATACGAAAGTACAAAGCCACCTATTAGCGATGATCTGATTTTTTCTTTATTCAAAGCATTTTGTAATACTTGGTAAGGATCCTGTTGCTGTATTTCTTATGTCGGTAACATTATATCGTAAGCTTCCTTTCCCCCTTCGAAATCATACTGTTAACGTAACCTATGTTCAAAGCGAATGCTACGTCTGAGAAGTGTGTGTATAAATACATACCCTACAGTAGTATGTATTTAAACATATGGTGGTATGTATTAATACATATCCCTACAGTGGTATGTATTTATAGGGACATCATAAATAACATGTACTCGAATGTAGTGATCACGGCAAGAAATATTGATGTGCTTATCTACAAAAGATTTGTCACGTATACTTCAAACAAATTCTTAAATAACCATTTATAGTATAACATTTGATAATACTTAATAGAGTGATAGATAGTCATTACGTAAAATAGAAAGTTGATATTAGTGTTTTTATTTGGTTATTTATTCCTTATTGCAAATACGTTAGTTAATGGTTACAAAGGGCGAACTTAATGCCTTTAAACATCCTCTCGCAGTCTAAACGGGGGAAAAAATAAAAAATAAAATAGACAGAAAAACTGCACGTGGAGAATTTTATTGTTGTGTGTGAGGATTGAACCCGCAAAACGAGCAATTAAACGCACGCAGTTATTTTGTATGTAAATTATATATTTATGTCGAAAAACGCGAGAATGTAAGTATAATTGGAGCTTGGAGCCGTGATATGCCAGTGTCCGAGCGTTCGCTTCCGAATTTAGTATGTGGGGACTACCGTGCTCTAAATATTCGAGCATCCTGAAATGCCGGATGAAGGAAAATTTCAAAACGTTAGTCGAAATAATAGATAAATAACGAGTTTTCAAAATTGGTATTTTGATACTTATCAGGTGTCGAATTTAAACAGATTTTTTTGTTTTGGTGTCAAGTAGGCAACAAAAACGTTCCATAATATAATTGTAAAATTGTTTATAACGTTTTCAACGGTAGACTACAACTACCGCGAGTAGAGTGCCGTGTGAGTCTTCATTTGGTGTTTAATTAACCGGTTTAGTTATCGGTTCTAATTTATAGTAGCACTAGTTTAGGTAGAGAGAATAATTAGTTGCAGATCTGCTGTAGGATATTATGTTGTTGATAAGTACAATAGTAGACAACACTTATTAACGGTAATCTTTGCTGTCAAAATATTTATTGGACTTAAATTATTCGTACGACTTAAATTATTCGTATTTTTATTCACATATGTATAAAGGATATATATTATATATGTGAATAAAAATTGTTCATATCACTATGACAATAAAAAACACGCTTGCGCAATAATTAAGTCACAATGGCAACAATATTAAGCGGCAAATTGGACACTGCCAAATTTAAGACAGTAATTTTTACTCGTAGATGTAAAATAAGTTATAGTGGACAATCGGCAAGTCCGCAACTCCAGATGGACGATTATATTATATTAAATATAATAAAGATATTTCATTACAACTCACGTATTAAAATTTATGCACTACGAGGCCGAAATAAATTAATACAAATTTCCAGGACAAGTTTAACTATTGATGGTCACAATCTTATCATACACACTTAAATAAACATAAGGAGGTAGTTATTTACGTTGAAAAATATTGTTGCTGAACTAGTTATGTCTCGCGGCTCCTGCGTAATGAATTTCTTATTGGATGATTTAAAAGCTTGTGTAAAATTAGATGTATTTTTATTAATTTTTTTTTTGGATAAGGCAATTTATTGCCGATATTGTATTAAACTAATGCAAACTGACCTATTACAACATGAGTTAGACAAAGCTTAGACAAACCTTATTGTAATTAAGAAATAAGATATTAATATTTAGGATGATCTTGGACTGAAATAAAGCTTCTCAACATCAGTTATTTTGAATCCAATCAGAAACGCATTAAAGAGACAAATTATACTCTGAAGCGTCACTATGCAAGTTATCAAATCTTTTGTGGAGTTGGTTATTATTCTTTTTTACATATCGTTCAATTATTGAGGTAAACGCAAACTAAATCATGTGTCTACTTCAATTATGCGTGTGTCTACTTCAAGTATACGTATTATTATTACTTCAATTTATATGCGCAAAAAAGCATGTTAAACGATACCAACATACGGACAGATTTATTTTATTTCGTCGATATTAAATTTCCATGAATGTATATATAGCAATTGCTATGCAAGAGACCTACTATTCATATTACTTAAGTTTAAGGGTACTTGCATTTACAGCATGTTGCTATGATATTAAAAAATCTTGCGTTGAGTGTCGTGAAAATGTCAGTATACTCAGTGGCGAATAGTCTGATTTTGAGCGTTCTAATTTACAGCGTAAACAGTGTTACTTCTGGTGAGAAAAGACGTATATTATTCTTCTTCTTTCTCCTCCCCTTATCTACTATCCTGCCCTTATTACTATGTGGGTCGGCACAGCATGTCCAACTTTTACTTTCGTATATTTTTTCGTTATTGGCTTTTTGACGTCAACCTCTCCTTGGAAATTCTAGCTAATTTATATTTATCTAACCTAAAATATTGTATAACTAGTAGATATACTACTGCAGGTATGAAACGGACAAACTTAAATCATTTGAAAAAGGAAACTGTTGTCCTGATCGTCGTTTTTCTCTAAATGCAGTTCTAAATGAATTATTAAAAAAATCAACAAAAAGGTACTCCAGGATCATAACTTGGTTTTCTTTCAGAATTTTGGGGATTCAGAGACGATGGGATATTATTAAATTATTCCAATTACCTTAACATGAATACGTTCCGCAGATTGGGAAACAGGTGGATTTGTGAAGTTGTTATTTATGTGTGTTCAAGCTTCATCTTCGCGAGTTCGTTTTGTATTTTCTATAATATATCGATTTGATTCGATTGCTTCAATAACAAGAGTTCAAATTTCTAAGGGATTTCTTCCGAAAGTCATTTGCTCGTAATTCGTGTTTGGTATTAAATTATTTTTAAATTTCCTTCTTCTTCTTCTTCTTCTTTGATTAATGGCCTCTCTTAAAAAGAATGGCCTCTCTTAAATTTCCTTTTAAAATAAACAGAATTGACAGATCAACTTGACGTCTTTTAAAAAATGTGTATTATAATATGTAGAAATATTTTTTATCACAATTAAAGTAGTATGAAAAAAGATACAATAAATACAATTTTATACATACATTCGTATGTAAAAAATTGTATCAGCTTTATTCGTAAAAATAATTAATATCTGTTGCATATTGTAATGTCAGAGGTAGTATCAGTTTGTTGCGAATTGTAAAATTTAAAAAATTAACAATATTATTGTCTAACATTGCAAAGATAGATATTTTCATATAAGTTGTATTTTCGCCTTACTTCCATAACTCATGTTTGAAACATTTAATGATTTTTTTTTTTCACTAAATATACCTACTTTATTATACCGAATTTTATCTAGTATAAAATACTATTTTAATCATCTTCGCTAGCTCATTTTCTCTCGCAAACATTGAGTTCAATCTCTTCAAATTGAACTCAATGTTTGCGAGAGAAAATGAGCTATAACTATTAAATTTAAAACGTTAAACGATAGTTTTTAAGGCGTTTTAATTACACTGTTCGGAAACTATTTTATAGACCAAATTCATATTCGCAAACAAAAGACTTTACTCGCGAATATACGTCGCGGCGTAGGTTTTAATGCAAGTATTCGTTCATTCAACAAATTTAGGACATCATTTTTGATCCATACATTGTTGGCTTAAAATCCTTCTAACTGAGTATCGTTACTCTTTGTGTTCTAATTTACGTCTTCATACAACTGAAAATATTTTGTTGTGACGGAAATTTAATAAAAACAAAAAAAAAAAACTGTAGTGCTAAGGTAAAACTGTATTAAGCGCAATGCTAATATAACTATTAATATTAAACTTTTAATATTTTAGTGGTTCTTTTCAGCACTAGCCTCTTATTTATTTCTTACTAGCGACCCGCCCCGGCTTCGCACGGGTGCAAAGATAAAGGATGTAATCTTTACTCTGTGAACTCAACTCGGTGAAGACAACCGATGGCACTCTGTGCTTTGGGTTGTTTTCGACCTTGTCCTTTCATAACGTAAAATTTTGAAGTAATGATGAAAACGCAGCTTGCTGTAAGAGAATCTCAACTCAGAAGTCACTGGGTGGAGAAGATTTTGTTGATATGGATGAAAAGCATAAGAGTGAAGTGCATTCAGGCATACGACGCTGCACTTTCAACTGGAGAATTGATTTTCGTTTATGAGACGAAGAAAATTCGTTAAAGACGAACAAGAAACCCGAAAATACAAATAAAAATGACTGAACGATTAAAAACCTATGTTCGAAATGGCCGACCGGTTAAGTGAGGTGGTAACAAAGTGGGCGATAACTCGCATTGTACTTCTAGCTTCGGAAGAGCTATGGATTTTTCGATCAACTACCTCTTAAAAAAACAAATGTAATGATAATAAATTTGAATAAATTATATAATTAACCTCAAAATAAGTGTTCATATTTTAATCGAAACTTTCTCTATATGAAAGTCAGACCCCATGCTGTGATACCTTACTTCATTTAAAAAAAGTAAAGTAAAGTATCACAGTCTGTACATGGGATATGTACAGACTGTGATACTTTACATGCTGGGAAAACGCTTCCGGATAGGGAGACTTCACTTATCTTCGAATTTTTTTTTGTTATTACTTGGCAAATATGAAGGTTTCCTCGTGATGTCTTCCTTCAACGCTGAGCACGTCATAAGTCAGTTCTTATCATTAATAATTTCGTTAGTTCTGGATTTAAACTCGGGCTGTATATATACAATATATATATTATAAGCGAACGCCCGGGCACTGAGCCATCACGGCTCAATGATTTTAACGAAGTTTATTTTTTTAGAAAGCGCATGTAATTACCCCGAGGAAAAGACTTGTGCAGCCAGAGATGTTGACGGAGAATCTGTGATATGTGTTTGCAACATCACCTATTGTGATGACTTCATAAGAGAAGCACCCGTTACAGGAAAATACGTCTCCTACACTTCGTCTAAGGTTGATTTTCTTTTACCACAATTGGAAATAAATAACTAACGAATTTAGCGCTTATTTCAGTCAAGTATACTATACTACACTGTGTATTACTACGATTACTTTATTATTTTCCTATTATGTTAAAGTTCTTTCATCACAAGCTCTTTCTACGTGATTTTGAGATCCGGTGACGACATATGAGTATTATTAGTAACGGTAACTTTACCGCCTGAATCAAGATTTTTTTTATGTAAGAAGACGGCAAGCGAGCCGGCGGTACACCTGATGTAAAGTGATAACCGCCGCCCATGGACATTTGAAACCCCCGTAGGGCAGATGCGTTGCCACATAGTTAAAAATGTTTGTTTTTCTACATATCACAATTTTCAGCCAACATTAGACTTAGGTTTTCGTTACCGTGGTATGATCGAGCAGCAGATTCTGTTGTAGTGCGAATGAGCAATCTCCTCCGCATCATGGCCTAATGCAGAACCTTCGTTATCTAGGTTAACAGCTTTCACATAAATAAAGAATGTTTTAGAGATTTTGTCAGATTCTTATATATTTATCAATAATATTGAACACGCACGTGCATAGTATACAACCCTTATTTATTTAAATATGTTGAGGATAGTAGTATCTAGCCGCGACGGTTTAACGAATGTGATGGTTATTGATGATGTACAATAAAGCCAAATATTCCTTGTTTGTATCAAATTATTTTTCTTACACTTTTTTAAGCCGATTTAATAAGGGCGCGTAACAAATGCTGCCTTTTATTTTTTCAAAGACATTATTCTTACTTTCCGTGCTACTATTACTGATAATGTAAAATACGTTTTATATCAAGAACTAGGTGGAAAGTTTTTTATTCTCTTTTATTATTCAGGCAGGTTCACGGTTTCGGAAGAGCTATGGAAAATTTTATTCATCGACCAATCAAAGTAAGTGTGTTTATAAAACCATATTTATTATATGTATAAATACAGTGACAATAAATGTGTAAATATACCGTGTACCGAAATTCGTGGTTCTAACAATTGAGAGTTTTCAATAGGCTAGACTATCCTGTCCTAACATTTATCAGGTCAGAAGTTCCCTAAGAGGTTCTATTGTGTTCGTTACTTACTCTTTAAGGTGAATCGGAATTAGATTTTTGTTTACTTACAACTGAGCTCTGGCCCCTTTTCACTACTTCCACACTTTATTTGTCCAAATAGTGATTACAATATTTCCGGTTAAATATAAAATTTTCAACATTCAAGATTCATTTATAACAATCTTTTAATCATTAATTAGTACATAAACCAATAAATTAATTAATGCTAAAAATACTTATTTAGACAGTGGATGCATTACAACTTTGAATTTAAACGCAACGGGAAAGCATCAGAGGTTGGAAGGTTTTGGAGGCGCGATCACTGACGCTACCGGTATCAACATAATGAGTCTACCGCCAGTCATGCAGGAATCTTTGATCAAGTAATTGTGGTTAAGTTATATTTTGAGTAGGAAAAATTTATACTAATGAGAGAATTTCGAAAATTGTTACGATTCAAACTCCTTACGTTTTTCGACTATGCTTACATTTGCACTTACAGCTGTCCAACCTTGCAAAATTATTTTTATGATCATCAGGTTTTACTAAACACTTAAGATTTACTTAATATCTTGGGCACGAGCACGAGATATAAAATCTCAAGTCCGACTTTGTATCTTTACGGCGTACACATATGAGTCTGGCATTCCTCACTTACTAAACCCTTATTTTCACTTTTTCAATTGTGCCAATTGCATTGGTGCCGTCACCTGAGAGAATTTTGGATCTTGTTGTAATTTTCTTCATCTGATTAATTACTTCTTTTTTAGTTCCTACTTTAGTTCGCGCGGTCTCGAGTACAACATGCTGCGAGTGCCCATCGGTGGTACTGACTTCTCTACTCATTATTACGCCTATAATGAGGTCCCTGCCGACGACCCCGACCTCACCAACTACACACTGTCATACGAGGACTACAATTACAAGGTAAGTGTTTCTTTCATCTAAGAATGGGTCCGATTTCATTACATTTAACTTTTAAAGTATATTGAGGGACTGCTGGAGAAATACCACACATCAAGCTCATAAATAATAATTTATCTTAAATTGTGGCCCTAATTTATCTTAATTTGTGTTTTTTTTCTAATAGATATTGTATATTTCTGAGTTATTTAAGGAAGATTTAAGGAAGATAGACAATTTTAAATTTCGTTTTACAACGATAATTCGAACAGGAGATGTCGCCTGATGATGGATTCTAATCCTTCTCTGCTATGTCGGTTAAATTTGTTCTACTGCGGATGTATTCGTTGCGAAATGAAATGCCGAGCATAGGCCGCTCCGTATCTCTCTGAGCGACTTTGAGCTTCTTCATACGGCCAGCAGTGAAAGACCACGTCTCAGTTCTGTATGTCACTAGATGGAGTGACGACCTATGCAAGTGTGCGGGAAGTTGATGGATGCAGATGGCTCAGGATCGTGCTTCGTGGCAGTCTGTGGGGGAAGCCTATGTTCAGCAGTGGACTCAAACAGGCTGAAATGATGATGATGATTATGTAAATCTCTGTTCTTAAGATGAAACATAAAAATTGGAGAAAAACATTTAAAAAATCTTAATACTTCAAAGATTAGTGTAGGCCTATAAAAAATTATAATTCTTACTTATTTAACATAATTTATATGGTATGTTATAGTTGCCGGTGATCAAAGCCTGCATGGATGTGTCGACATCGCCTGTGCACATCGTTGGATCGGTGTGGTCGCCACCGAGATGGATGAAGGACCCCCCGGAGATTGCGGGCGTAAACCATTTGAAGAGCAAATACATGCAGACTTATGCGCTGTATCATTTAAAGTGATTGTATATTTATATTTTCTCTTTAAAAATAATTGGGGGTTATATTGACACTCGTAACGTAAAATTTTCGTGGATGTGACTCAGTTTGTTAACAACAATATAAATAATATTGTTAATTGTAATGTTTGCCTAAAAATTGTCTAGTTTCGTATAATTCAATGTTATTTTCTTTAATACTGCACTTATAATCTTCTTTTAAAACATTTAGATTTCAAAAAGTTTGTGTAAAATAATTTTATTGATTATTTTTCTAGTAAGAAGCTATTGTGTTTAGACTAGTAGTTATTACTTATAGATTTGAAGGCACTACGTGCGTAAGCCTATGAGTGTAATCTCTTTTCTGGATACGATTATTTTATCATATTTTTTTTAACTTTAATAGTAGGCTTAAAAAGAAATAAACCTTTAATTTAAAAAATCCTTTACTTATGATTTTTTAACAAAATTTGTAAATTTCGTTAAAATAGTTTTAGACGAAACGTAATAAAGGCGTTAATAGGAATGAATTACTTATTTTCATATGGAAAAATTGTTGTTCGCAGATTCTTGCAGTCGTACTCAGAAAACGGAGTCCAGTTGTGGGCAATTACAACTACAAACGAACCACTCAGTGGCCTGCTGCCATTGGGAACCTCTCAACACCTCGGATGGTCGGCTCAGAATATGGTAAGTGCTACCACTTTTTTCTTCGTTAAGATTTGCTGTCCCTAAGTTATCCTTCGTTGAAAAAATATATAACTCAACGTACATGACACACGTAATATATTTAATATAATTCTTTAGCATGACAAAAGAAAAATACTAACAATTTTATCCTATTGATAACGGTTTAATTAATTATATATAAATGTCAAAAAGTTGTTATTGGTTGCCATGGGAATACCGTGATGATGGTCGCTTTGCAACCAACTTCCATCATGTCAGTGTCGGTATGCGCGCGCATCGTAAAAAATTTACTCTCAAATTTTTTCCAAATGTGGCGCATTTGGAAAAAAATTGAGAGTAAAACAAGGCAATACAAAACAAGGAATAAACAAGGCAATTACTGAAACGATCTCACGCATTTAACTCATTAGCACTGCAATATTTAGAACCAATGGCGGGCGTAACGGTTGGTAAAGCCGGTTGTTTCGGCACACAGGGAATATACACTAATGTCACGCAGTGTTTTTAACACTTACACACAGGCCTTTTCATCTGTGTCAGATGTTTTAAGCAGCTTCACGTTTAAGCAGCATCAGCGTGACGACACCTGCGTTCGTGGCTGTACAGGCCTGTGCGAGAGAGTATCCCCCGACCGCACTCACGATAAGTGTATGCTCTCGCAGGTGGGCGAGGATGGGAGACAAGCTCGTAGCGCCTCATGCGTTTCTCTTTTAATACCTTGAACCAGGTGTCGTCCTGTTTGGACTGGCCCTTGTGGATAAAGCGACGCCATCCAAAACGACCCTCGGCCAACTCCTGCCATTGGTCGCTAGGGATGTTAAAAGCAGCAAAGTTACGCTTAGCGCAATCTTTATAGCGGAGTATTGGCCGCCCGACCGATCTTTTTGCGTTTGCGATCTCTCCTAGTAAGATTTGGCGTGGTAAATATCTAAAAATGGCAAATCTGTATGTGCTCACCTTGAAGTATGATTGCAGATGCCTTGCTACCTTTTAATAAAGTCGGCCCCGATTATCGGAGAAGTATAATACTTTCACCGGTCTTCCGCGAGGTCGTGGTCCTTTCCCGGGTGGACCTGCACATTCGTGCAATAGCTGAAGACAGTTGCGTGGCCTTATCACAATATAAAACTTTAAATCAGCATATTTTTAAGCAAATAAACATCTCAGAACATCATGTATTCACGAAATAACATACACCTTTTTACAAAAATACATACTAAATCACGTCGGGGCCGTGGTGAAACGCTAGAAATACCGTGGTTTAGACTAGTTAAAACCAGGAAATCGTTTCTTGGTAGATGTATTAAGTTATATAATAGAATAGGTGACATCCGTTAACAATTAAGTGTAAATGATTTCAAACATTTTGTAAAAGCTGGAAAAGGCCTATTATAATGTCGCGGACTCTTGCTCTGCACTTGCCAGTCCTCTGGCTCCTGCTAATTTTATACTTAAATACTTTTGTATATACATAAATATTTTATAAAAAAAAATTATATGACCGAGAGTTTCTTGTCTAATTTATTGAACCGGTGGTAGTTTTTGACGTTAAATAAGTAAAACTTAACTTTAAATAAGCCTATGTAAGAAAATATTACTTTTTTGACTTTTGAAATGACAAGTGAGAAGGTCCAGAAGGTTCTGGAACATCTGACTTGCCATTTTATTATTTTAGTATTTAAACAAGCGTTAAACGTTAATAAATAACCGCTATATTTTTACGCTCATTTTTGGCAGGCAGGTTTATTTTCGCTCGTTATTGGTCATTTTCCGAATTTCAAAATTCTTAAGTAGGCCTTTCAGCTGCTAGCCTTATCACATGAGTGTCGGGTTAATAAGCGGATGCTTGTAGTAATACTGTCAACAGACATAACAACAGCAATGTTTGAGCTTTCCAATATATCAACAGTTCGTGGTAGAATATGGGCATATTCTAGTGCTCTTGCAGTTAATGATAAAACTGAAACGTAAAAAGGCGTGAGCAACGGCATATGTCGCACCCTGCGTAGGACAACGTGACATCTGCAAAATTGTAATTGTTCAGGACGGCCGATTCAAATTATTATAAATTTAATAAATTTAAATATAATTTTTTTTATTTTGGTTATAGTTTTCTTATAAATAGCAGTTTCTATTACAATTTTTGAGGTTTATAATATGATTAGGTATTTAAATAAACAGTATACTTTTTGGATAAATAAATGTAGGAAATAAGAGGTTTCATGTGTAATAGTGACGTTTTCCTACGAAAAATGGCAAAAACTGATGGGTCACAAGTTCATATATACATGTTTATATAACGTTGTTCAACGGAACATTCCAAAAAATAATAGGTCACACGTTCATCTAATCAAAACTCAGAAAATATGCATTACATAAACGCATGTAGCACTGTTTTCAACGAAAAATTCATAGAAAAGTGGGTGACTGTGCAATAATTAGGTATCAATTGATTCTAATATAGTATTTTACACTCGTCTTTTAAATTAATAAGCTAAGTCTAGTCAGTACAAAAGAGCAGTGTCTAAACGTTCATATGTCCTTGTACTGCGGAGCACAAATCAGATAGAACGTTATTCTATTCTGAATCTCAATATCTATAAGTCAGACGAAAAAAAATAATATCTGAAAGCGTAGACAATTATTTAAATAATTAATTAAATTCGTTCTATGTGACCACAGAACGTTATTCTACGCACGGTGCGATGAGTACATCGTGCTACTTATTTGATCTATTTTAACTGGCAATAAAGTATACATAATATATAGTTGTAACGTAGAAGATTGGAAAAATTTCATAATATTTAGTGAAATTACGCGAGTTGTACCAAGGAAGTATAGTTCTACAAAGTATTCATAGTCTTATTATATTTAGCCAGTCAAACTATACTCCGAGTTACCTCCACCCGACTATTGGTGCAGAACCTTTGCTTGATTACTTTCAAAAACTACTTGATGCTGTTTCGTATTGACGTTTGAAAAGGGATTTTTTTGTGTGTATTAACTTCAGGGCAAATGGATACTTGAGAATTTGGGTCCGACGATCCGTAACTCATCATTCAAGGACGTGAAAATACTCGCCGTGGATGACCAGCGTTTCTCCATTCCAATGTGGTTTAACATTGTAAGTAAATTTTGCCATTTCGCTTTGCAATTCTCCAGTAATCAAATATACAGAGAGTAGAATATGAAGCCGGTCGTAAGGCGGCGATCCGAGATCTTCTGGAGTTAAAAAATGTTTAATGGACGAAACGAAGACTAGTTATAACAGGTAAGAAGTAGTTAACAATACACTTTTCATTACAAGAAGTAAAGGATTCACTCGATTCTAGAATTCTATTTAATAGGGTTCTAGTAATTTCAATCACCGGCCGTAACTAGAAATTATATACATCATTTTCATCAGCAAAGAGAGTTTTACTACATTTAGTAGATCACTCTCAGTGATAGAACACGTAGAAATTGATGATGAGTTTTATACTACCAATAATTCATAATTCAACAACAAGTGATAGATGGTGACTGTAATTGAGATTATAATGTTGGTTATTTTAGTTTGTAAGATTTAAAATGAAAAATAACGTATATCATTAATCGTGTATTGCTTAAAAATTATATTAATTGTATATAAATATTCGAAAACTATTTGTATGTTACAAATAAATGATGCAATAAATTAAATTAAATACAATATCATGTTTAATAGAATTTTTTTTATTATTATTTCGAAAATGTGCAGGTTTCCTCACGATGTTTTCCTTCACCGCTGAGCAAGTGATAATTCAGGTTTGGTTAGGAATCGACAAATGTTGGATTGGAATTAGACGTGTATGATATGTTCACGATACTGTTTTTAAAATATGAGTGTATTTAAATGTTTTCACAATTCTGTGGTATCATTATTTCCTTAAGTGTATTAATATAAGGCAATAAAGATGTGTTATAAAGTAAAATAAAACAATAACTAGAGACATTATTTACAGATGTTAACTCAATCACCCGGAGCTGAAAAATACATAGATGGCGTTGCCGTGCACTTTTACTTTGACAACTTCACGCCTGCGTCCTTTTTGAAGGACGCCATGAAAAATTATCCTAATATATTTACCATATCCACAGAAGCTTCTGAAGGTATATTGAATATAGCCTTTATACCTCCATCTTAGGTTATATATTCAAAGAAAAAAACATTTTTGTTATGACGTGTGTATATTTGCTTTTCTGTCTTTATACAAGCAGTGTTTGAACTTTAGTTTATATTAATTAGTATTCAGCAACAAAAATTCTCATCGGTAACATATACTTCTTCTTCTACCTGGCATTAATCTCGACTATTGCCAGGGTCTGCCTTCCTACTTAAACTTCTCCAGTTTGCCCGGTCTTCGACATCCGCAGGGGTCAGTCCATTGGCTCTCATGTCCTTTTCCACGACGTCCAGCCATCACTTCCTTGGGCGTCCAGGTGGTCTAGTTCCTGGGACAGGTACATGAAGGCATATCCTTCCGACATAGTTTTCCGACCGGCGTGCGACATGGCCATACCATCTCCCGGCGCCGCTCTTGGAGTTTATCCGCTACGTCACGAACCCCGAGACTGCCTCGAATGAATGTGTTACGTGTGCGGTCAGCCCGCGTGACGCCACACATCCACCTAAGCATCTTCATCTCCGTGACGTGAAGCTCTTGAGTGTGCCGAGATAGAGCTGGCCAGCACTCGCTACCATACAGAAGTACCGGTCGGATGATGCACTTGTACACCTGACCCTTGAGCTTGGGCGGTATTCTGCGGTCGCAGACCACACCTGTAACCTCTCGCCACTTAGCCCAAGCAGCGCGTATCCGGGCTTGGACGTCATGGTCAATGCTTCCGGACTCGTGCAGAACGGATCCAAGGTACCTGAACGATTCCGACTTAACGGCTGGTTCAGAACCTATTTGGATCGTGCAAGAGTCCGAACTCCCACAAGCCATGTACTCGTTGGTAACATATAATCGTTATTAAAGTATTAAAACAGACTTTATTAGTTGTATTCAGTTGATTCAAATGAACTGACTTATTGTTAATTGGTATTTTAACAAAGCTTAAATTAAAATAATACAATTTGTATTTTTTGTGAACGCTTACTATTTATATGTAACCCGAACAAACTGTGAGAGTTAGTGTCGAGTAAAGGTCTAAACACCTTTTCATTACAGATTTATGTAGTTAAATCAACGTTCTTTTTCGCTTCTTTCATTATACAATAAAATTGAATAAATGATATTCAATAAATGATGTCAAATGGCGTTGAAGTAAAATCTAATTTGTAGATCTAAAAAAATATATAAACAAAACATGTAAAGAGGTCTAGTCGTTATTGTTCTCTATCTTATAGGTGTTATGGAAAAAATGCGCGTTATTCTGGGATCATGGCAGAGAGCGGAAGCTTACATAATTGACATACTAGAAGTAAGTAATAATTCTAGGATACCCAGTTATAGGCAGTAATATTATGAGTCACTAAATTAAAGTTTATTAACTGATAACTACACAAACAACTCCTCAATAGTATTATTTCCCTCTCCCTGAATTCGTTCGCAAATTTTCAATTTAATTTAATATAACACAACAATTTAAATAAATACTACCACAACAATTTAGTTGTATGCACGTTTAAAATATGTAAAGTTTTTAGGATTTGTGCAACGACGTTGTGGGTTGGATCGACTGGAATATGTGCCTCGACACGAACGGTGGTCCAAACTGGGTCGAGAACTATGTAGACTCGCCCATCATTGTAAATGCTGAAAAGCAAGAGTTCTACAAGCAACCGATGTTCTACGCGTTGGGACATTTCAGTAAATTCTTGACACGTGACTCTCGAAGAATAGAGCTTACGAATACTACCATTTGTACGATTCCCGATGACCGCGGCGCTGACGATGGGTTGGTAAAACTATTTGTAACTTAATTGTCTGAAGTGGTATTACGTAGTAGATAGGACATAAATTTTCTAGTATAAACAGAAGACCTCGGCTACTCGTATAGCCAATATAATTTTAATTTTTTTTTTTAAATAACTCATTAGATAACACCAGAAACTGCTTTCTTAGGGCACGAATTAAAAGCTAATGAAAGCCACAACCTTTCGCTTTCTTTTCACAGAAAGAATATAGATCAATGCAATACCGACGAGAACATGGCGTCTTATGACAGTGTCGCATTCCAGACTCCAAACCAAACCATCGTTGTCGTCATCCATAACAGGTGATGTGCGCCATGTCTACAGCCGTTTATTATTTACTAGCGACCCGCCCCGGCTTCGAAAGGGTGCAATGTATTATACACAATGTATTATACCTTCCTCTTAAATCACTCTATCTAGCAAAAAAAAAACACATCAAGATTCGTTGCGTATTTTTAAAGATTTAAGCATACATAGGGATAGACAGACAGCGGGATGACTTTGTTTTATACTATGTAGTGATTCTACGCAAGTCGAGTGATAGCAAGTTTCATATCTCACATCTCTAGGTAGTATAGTACTTTCGAACGATATCGATCAGAATAGAACCTGACTTAACTCAAACGCCTCCAACTAGAGGTAAAAAAAGATCACATATCGAGGCAACACCAGAACGCTTTTGTTAACGTGTTCATTTGCGAGGATTTGTGGGTTACCAAATGTGATAAACGGGAATTTGTGGATTATCCAATCTGGTAACCGAGGTTTTGTAGATTATGGTGTGAATGAATCTGATCGTAAACTTATTTTATGAAAATTTCAAAATCATTCGTGTAAATAAAATGAAATGCCGTATCCACTTATCATATCGTCAAATTAATGATTAATCGATACCACGAGGCAAGTGGTATCGATTAATCATTAATTTGACCAACCGTTTATTGCCATTTTGCCTCCTCTGTACAGAGGGTATTAGGGTATAGTCCACCACGCGGTCCCACTTCGGATTGGCGGACTTCAAACATAAATTTGAAATGTTTTTTTAGTTATTATGTCGAAAATATGCAGGTTTCTTCACGATGTTTTCTTTCACCGCTGAACACGTGATAAGTCAGCACTTAAAATCAACAATTTCAGCGCCCGCAGCATTGGAGATCGAACTCAGGTTTCCCGAGTATATTGAATTAAAAGTGAGTGCCCGGACAGTGAGCTATCACGGCTTTATGTTAAACGCAAATTTAATTTATAATTAATATACAAGTTTTAAAGTTGATTGAAGCACATTTTAATGGCAGGAAGCAACCGTAAATTTATCGCCATTCGCATAATTTTTTCGTTTTTTTTTCAGAGGCATTGAAAAATCTGTGGTTATTAAATATGGTGATAAACAAGCAACTCTGCAACTGGAGGCGGCTTCTATAACTACCGTTGAATTTCCGGCAGAAGATGTTCAGTAGAATAAAAGTGAATTTTCGCGTCTCTCACATTATTAATAAACTGTCCAATGTTTTTAATATATAATGCAAGTCCTTGGTGTCTTTCTCTAAATGTCTTCTTTTAGATCCTAACCTTCCTGGATATCAATAATTTAAATAAGACTTAGTACATTATATTTGCGTTTCTATATTTTTTCCAACGGCCAACAATTTTTTAAGAGCTGACGTCAACTGTCATACGCTTGGAGGAATGTTTTGTCTTGAATTTGGCGATCTTGGTAGCGATGGAAGTGACTTGAATTTATAGCGCTTATTTTTTATTTTTATTTCTCGTCGTTTTTACGACTTTTCAGTATTACTGACTTCTGCGTAGATTCATTTATAAATATGTAATGGCGTAAAACAAGATATTATCTTATCAAGACTTGATTGAGTACACATGAATTCTCCAGTATAGTACTGCCCGGACCTATCTCAACGTCATTTTTAGGTTTTAAATGTATATATCTGCAAAATCAGAAAGAAAAAGAAATTTGAGAAATTATAAAAAAATTTTCTGTATTTATGCTACACTTGAGATTTAATTTTCGTCATTATCGTTTGCGTTAGTTACCTGGCCACCTTCGTGAATGCTGGTTTTCAGTGGAACCTTGGGGGAGAGAGATAGATGGCTCTACTTAATAATTGTAAAGAATTTATATAGTATACAATAAAAATTACAAAAAAAAAAAACAACAAGAATATTTGGCTAAAAATAAGAAAACATATTACCTACTTATTTTACCTGCCATGCTTGTGTTCTGTGAGAAAAAAAAAAAAGAAAGATTTTGTTGTTGTGTTACGAGATGAGCGAGAATAGACAGAGATTTATTTTTTTGTTTTATTACAATACACGTAATAGTTGTAAGCGGCACAATTTTACGTCTATAATATAGACAATAGGTGTGATGGTCTTATCGGCAGTGATTACTTAAAGCAAATACCAATATGTAGAATTTAAAGTTATTTACAAAAGATAAATTTGTGAGTGAGTTTGACATTTTATTTTCGGTTATGACGGTAGAGCGAAAGAATATTATTGAAGCTAAAATCCACTTAATTTACAAAGGCCTTAAAGTTTCAAACGACCAACCGATACATTTTTTGGAGTATACCGGACTAAACCGTTCGATGCTGAATCGTGAGAAGAATGCGAGAACAATTTTCTTCGCATTTTAAATACAAATTCAAGACATTTTATTTTCAAAATTTGATTACATTTAATTAAAGTATGGCATTAAATACAATAATGAATAATGAATAGAAAAATAAATACAAAAGTACAATATGGCATTTTGTTCGATAACTTGTTGCCATCTTGAAGGTATTGGCATAACCTCGTGGCTTTAAAAATTTTGGGGCTTCTGATAAAAAGAGACAAGTAGTTTATACAGTCTTCTCTTCATATTAATTTAGCACTAACTAAAGAATTTTGAAGATATCGAAACAAATAGAAATGTGAGGGTGCAAGATAAGGATTATATGCAACAACAACAAAAATGTTATATTTTTGCAACATTTGAACTGGAATAAATTGTTTGTACACATGGGATCGATGGGAATTTTCGACAAATTGTTTGTAATAGTGTCTTCAAAATTCATGCCAATTTTCAACTTTGTTCGAATTAATGTAATCTTGAATGTCTGTTTGACCGGGCCAACGGTGAAATCTAGTTTTTATTTGTTTTACCGGTCGTAGTCTTCAGCCTCTTTACCCATAGAAAAAAAAATAAAAAGTTAATATTTTAATTTAACTATTACTGAAGTTTTACTTCTTTTGGCGCGTTTGGAAAATAAGTATGAGAGTAAAATTTTTACTATGTTTGCGCACACCGACATACAGTCAACATCGACATTGTGAAGTTGATTTCAAAGCGACTTCACGCTATTATTATGGAAACCAATAACAACTTTTTGACATTTAACTATAACTCCAAGTTATTGAATTAAGCCGTTATCGATTGCATTTAATGTTTTTTTCGCAAACAAAGAGAGCTGGTACAGGGGATAAAATATTTAGTTATACTTATTTCTTTTGTTACACTAAATATGTATAACTTCTTACGTGCGTCCATAAGCACATTTTTATATACGGGTATATAAGCATATCTTTATATATATAATTGTTCTGTAAGAGTGTATGTCACTGAACTTCTAAACGGTTGGACCGATTTTAATTAAATTTTTTGTGTGTCTTCAGATCCATTCGAGAATGGTTTGAATTCACAATTCGGTCCAATATATTTCTTTCATTTCTAAGTTTTCGAATTTAAGTCGTGTACAGGACAACATGTAGTAAAGTAGATAATTGTAGCATTTTTATCACACATCTCCAACAAATACCTAACAAAACATAAGAAGATAAGATAAAATAAAGAGTTGATGACATTATATTTTCGGTTTATTTACATTAACAATAAAAAAATTCTTTACTAGTTATGTCTCTCGGGTACTGTTTTGAATATTTCACAAGAGGGAAAATAGTCTACAACAGATAAAGAATTACTTGTTAAAGGCGTTTGACATGTCACTTAAGTCTGGATTAGTACAATACTTTCGGCATACATTTTGAATAGTGGTAGTGTCTTATAAACGACGTGCTGTTTGAGACCAACCACGGCTGGATGGAGCAACGTCCTGTGCATCGTGCCCTGTGCCTGTAGGATCGTGCTTCATGGCAGTAGGTATATGGAGGATACCTACCTTTAGCAATGTTTATTTATGTGAGAAAATGGTGAGCTAGCTGTCGGTTCACATTATATTTAGTGATAACCGCCGCCCATGGACATTTGCAACACTCGTCTTCTGTGAGGTCTGGTACTTCGCCTGAAGAACCGGTCCACTTGTTGAGGAAAACAACAGTTAAGGTCATTCCAGAAATTAAATTAAATAAATTTGTTTAAATTCCGTTACGGAAAAACGGCAAACACTTATTTGAAATTTAAGTTCGTAAAGATTATATATTAATCTAAATTAGGGGCTGTCGGTGTGGTTAACAAATACAAACATCTGTCAAAGTAACTTGATGGTAAAGCGTAAAGTTAATGACTAGATTCTTTTCATTAAACATCTAGAAAACGAGCACGCTACAAATCATAGTACAAAGATTGGAACAAGGTAATCTGTACTCTAAGTACTAATGAAATTAACACTGTCTTTGTTTGTCAGTTTTATGTCGAAAATTTTGATCCGAGCCGTTAAACAGTCAAAACCTCTTTTTCTCCTCGACATAGGAAAGATTCAAATTGTGATTAAGGATTTCATTGCCATTTAAATCGTGTTCGGCAATTAAAAAAGTAAGCATTAATTTTTACACAATGCCCAAGCACGGAAAGCAGGGGAATCACGAAACACAAGAAATTTTTCTTCCATCAATATCACCAAGTTGAATTGACCAGATAGCTTGAATCCAGCTATGAAAATATATGTATTTAAATGCCATAATTTCTTTTGGTGGCATTTTTATGGCATTTTATGACATCATTTTATGCGATAGATATTGGATTCATATGGTAATGAGTTGTGAAGATATACGTATTTAATCGTTTGGACTGCTGATTCCAACTCGATGATCCCTAGAAGTTACCAAAACCTTTCTATGGTTAAATGTTGTTTTAAACTACTTATATATATATATGTTAATATTGTGTTAAATTATAAATAAAATTGATCGTCTTTTTTGTCTAATAAAAGGCAATAACGGGGCAGTACAGATATTAAAAACATACCAACATACCGTCAGATCAAGATATCAGATTGCACTATCGATACATGTATACATGAGTAAATTATATACTTGTATATATAGCTACGAGTACTCCTATGCAAAAGACTCATTATTCATCTAACATAAGTATAAGGCTGTTATTACTTAGGACATTTTGCTACGTGTTTTACAAAATAAAATCAAAACACTTTCTTTAACTAACTTTATGCAGCAAAAATGTTAGTACACTCGGTGGCGAATATTCTGATTTTGAACGTTCTTATTTCAAGCATAAACAAAGTTAAATCTGGTAAGAAAAAAAAAAACATATCGATATTACTTTTAATCAAAACGTTACAGTTATATATTAAAAGCTATATTCGAGTGTACAGTTTATTTGGCTGTTACTTAACTTTAACTTCTATTGAGTAGCGAGGCGGGAATGTACTTTAAATAATTTATTTCCTTTTTTTTAGAAAGCCCGTATAACTCCAAAGGAAAAACCTTGTGCAGCCAGAGCTATAGAAGGAGAGTCTGTAGTATGTGTCTGCAACATCACATACTGTGATGAGTTTATAAGAGAAACACCCGTTACAGGAGCATACATTGCCTACACTTCGTCTAAGGTTCAATTTTCTACTGTGAGAAACCAAAATATAGAACTGAGGAGTTTAACAATTACTTATACTAATAATAACGTTTCAAAAACCATCTTCCTTTACTTTTTCAAAATTCTTAATAAAAATAAAACTTTTTCAAAGGTCTAACTACGACAGACTAGAAAATTGTTTTTTATTTTCAGGCAGGGTCACGGTTGCAAAAAAGTTATGGAAAATTTAATTCACTGGCCAATCCATGTAAGTGTGTTTATAGAAATTATATTTAATACTAGCTGTGGCCGCGAATTTGTCTGCGAGGAAATCAAAATAAAATAAAATTTGTAAAATAAACGTAGTCTAAGTTAATCCTTATTACATCAGCTATCTGCCAATGAAACTCCCGTCAAAATCGGTCCTGCCGTTTCAGAGATAAGTCGGAACAAACAGACGGACAAAAATTGTAAAAAAAAATATTTTGGTACATATACCACGGTACATATACCGTGTATACATCCATATGCATTTAATAAAGGTTTCTACGCAGGAACTTATGATCTACCCAGGGTGCATATCGGCAAAGCTATTGGAACGCTTTACACGTAGCCACGACTCCGCTAGCGCTGGCGTCTGAGCAGTCCATTCTCGGGGAGTAAGCCCCTCCGCCGCAACTAGTTGGTAAGCCGCGGAGAGGCGCTAGCAATAGGCTTCTTTTACATGGGAAATACCCATTATGGTGGTTCTGTCACCAGATCTGAGTAGCGGGGAGAACAGGTATCTGTTTAAAACGCCCACTTCGCTGTGTTTCTGGTCGTATCGGCCGAGTAATGACACAAATATATATTTAAAATAATATTCAATAATTGTTTATAAAATATTTATTTAAACCAAGGTTGCATCACAACATTGAACATAAACCCGACGAGGAAACATCAGAGGGTGGAGGGCTTTGGAGGCGCGATCACAGATGCTGCCGGTATCAACATTATGAGTCTGCCGCCAGTCATGCAGGAATATTTGATCAAGTAACTTTTTAGTCATATTATATCCTATAGTATATAATATATACATATTATAGTAAAAGTGAATAAAGACAAATTTTTAAGCTTCAAACTCCTTGTTTTAAGGCTTAGGCATACATTTGCGATTACAGAATCTATCTAACATTATTTTAATCTTAAAATTGATTCATTTTCATTTCATTTTTAATTTTCAAATCTCAGATCAATTACAAATACATTGTGGCGATAGGCTCACTATATGGTGTACCAGCACGGCCATTTTGATTTTTTTTGTAATTTTTCTTCGCCTTCTTAATAACTCTGTTTTAGTTCTTACTTCTTTTAGTTGCCATGTAATTTTTCTAGCTTTATGATTAATCATTCTTTCTTTTAGTTCCTATTTTAGTTCGCACGGTCTCGAGTACAACATGCTGCGTGTGCCCATCGGTGGCACTGACTTCTCAACTCATTATTACGCCTATAACGAGGTCCCTGCCGACGACCCCGACCTCACCAACTACACACTGTCGTACGAGGACTACAAATACAAAGTATATATTTTTTTTTCTAGAATGGGTTAGATTTCGCGACATTCAACTTAAATTTTCAGTATATATGGGCTGGAGAAATTTCGTAATTTAAGCCATTCCATGGAATTTTTCGGACTAAATTAACAGTTTCTTTAAAATTATAACATTTTGATATGGTGTTAGATATCACGTGAGTGTAGGAAAATGGGCTAAATATGTGTGAGTGCTACATTGATGCCACGGATGTGAATCACAGTATGTAACTTAATATAATTATAGATTTTAAATTGTAAGTAAGACAAATGAGAAAACCTTCGGCGCTGCGGGATTTGAACCTGCGTCCTCTGGTTTCGCACCCAGACGCTCTATGAACTAAGCTAAGCGGCTGACGACCTCACGGTGATGACCCCTCTCGAGATGGCAACCGGCATATGAATCATGGAGCACGCACTTACCTGGAGGCTTCCAGCTACGTATCTTCTTCTCGGCTTTTGGTCAGCGATGCACCCGGATTACAGTCTTGCCCAGTTATATAGATTTACATATTTACGGACGTGATTTATAAGATTAATAATTTAAAATAGACGAAGCGTTGATACGGTGTTAAAGGCGATTACACTATATATTGTTCGTGCGTGCGATTTGAACGGCGAGATTGCTGGTTGCTAATGAATGAGTGAATAATATAATTGTCAATTTGTTTCGATTTCACGCCTTAATTGCTCGACCGATCATCCTGAAATCTCTCATGCGCATTGTCACGTATGTTTAGTTACAAAGGGGGCCTTTTAAGCCCAAAAAAATACTGTTAACGAGAGGTAGGCAAAAAATGATTGTGACCATCATCTGGCATATAAACTAGTTTTTTTTTTCGTGTCTTAATTAGTTATGGATACCCACAGACAGCCGGATATGCCGGACTTGCACCAACTAAAACCACAGTGTGCCTAATACATGCAGACTTATGCGCGGTGAATACACCGTTAGCGTTTTTGAGGGGTCACGGGATCTTCTATTACACAAAAACACTACCACAGCCTCCCTTTATAACAGTATACCACCAGCACTCCCACCGCTACCGCCGAGGTTCCAGTCGACTCAGGCCCACTTTGCGAGGAGCATTCAGATGCGTGCGTCTACTTTCCTGTAGACAATGGTCGCAATAAATTTAATCACAATCCCTGATACTTTTTTATAGTTGCCGGTCATCAAAACCTGCATGAATGTGGCGACTTCGCCCGTGCACATTGTTGGATCGGTGTGGTCACCACCGAGCTGGATGAAGGAAGCACTAGAGATTGCTGGCATGAACCATTTGAAGAGCGAATACATGCAGACTTATGCGCTGTATTATTTAAAGTGATTGTCTATTTATACATTTTCCTTAAAAATACACGTGGACTCTATTGGACACCCGTCACAGTAGTAATTCGCTGATTTTATCAACAAAACAAATATAAATGCAATTCTACTTTTAGCTAAAAAGATAAAGTAAAAAGTAATTTAATTTAATAGTTATCAACTGCATTTAATGACTTATTCACAATTAAAGAGTATTGGCACAGGGGATAACATTTTAAGTGATTTTTCTTTTATTACACATACTTTTTTTTAATAATAAACTACTTTTTTCAGACTATAATTTATTACGTATCCATCGAAGACAGAGATCCGTAGTATCCGGAAAGAGATTCACTTCATACCATTAATTATTATATTTTTCTAACTCAACAGTAGCCTTAGAAATAAATACAGTTTAAAAATACAATCGATACTTTTGGCCATAGAAAATTAGTGTTAAGTGTTGCACTGATATTGTTTAAGGGCATTAAAAATAATTACATGTTTCGTAAATACGAAATATGGATAGTGTATTGTTAAATTATAAGAGTAATAATGTCGGTTATATATAGTTGATTGATTGTATTCCCAAGGAGGGTTGACGTCAGGCAGTCGTATAAAACGTAGCCATTATAAAACGTACCATTAACAACCTATATGGGTAAAGGTTGGAAAAGAAAGAAGGAGAACTTCGGTTGTATTTTATTGAAATTTTCGTTCACAGATTCTTACAATTGTACTCAGAAAACGGAGTTAGATTGTGGGCAGTCACGACCACCAATGAACCACTCAACAACATGCTAACGTTAAGCACCTATCAACTGCAGCTCGGATGGTTGGCTCAAGATATGGTAATTGCTACTGCTTTTTATTTCTTCGACAACATTTGATGGTCCCCAAATGGTCTTTCATTAAAAACATATGGTAACAGTATTAAATTATGAGAGAGTGGACAATCTTTAGCCATAAAAACTCCTGAGCACATTTAGTACAATAGGTAATAGGTGACGAAACAAGTCGCCGCGCACAGGGCAAACATAAATGCCATACAGTGATTTTTGCAGGGAAGGAAACAAATAAACGGAATATATATCTTAGATTTAAATCCGCTACCTTAAAGCACGTTTCCCTCTAGGCCATCGCTTACCTGGATCCTTCATTAACAATGCCGGATTAAGCATGCGCGGGGCCCGTAGCAAATTCTTTGAAATAGCCCTTGATGTGCTATATAATATAATATCTTCTCTTTATATATAGTATAATTCTTCTGTTCATGTGTATGTCACTGAACTCCTCCTAAAAGGCAGGACCGATTTTAATGAAATTTTTTGCGTGTCTTCGATCGATTAGAGAGTGGTTTAGATTCACAATTTGTTTTCTTTTTATTATTTATAAGTTGTTGTCAGATTTAAGTCGCAGGTACAGAACATCTGTTGCGTCCGCTAGTTAAGTATAAATTGGTAAAAAACAACTCTAACTTATTTAATAAGTTTCTTGAGTGAAAATTAAGGCTCAGGCAGCGATGGGTGCGTGGGTTCAAATAAAACATGCATTTTTAATTTAAAAAAAAATTCAAATTAAAACCCCTTTGACGCGGGGCCGTTAGCAATTGCTACTCTTACTATGTGCTTAATCCAGCACTGCTCATTAAGAACTTTATTGAAATAAGCGTTAAATAAGCGATATCCAACTTTTTATGATACTTACCTCGTTGCCGTACTCTTTACTACCAAGTCTCTCAAAATTATTATATAGGCCTATCAACTGTTAGCATCCTCACTTAAATTTTGGGCTAGTAAACGGTAGTTGTCTGTTATAGCAATCAAATATTTTATCCTTTTTAAGTAGCGATAAACCATTTATATTACAAATAAAAGAAATAGAAGCATCCATCATACTTAGTTAAAGTATCCGTTTACTCCAAATCACACCCCCACCTCCTTGTTTATTTCGAAAAAATACTCCACTTTGTTAATAGGTGGCAACGCACCTGTAACTCTTCGACGGTAATCACTTAACATCAGGTGAACCGCCAGCTCGTTAGCTACTATCTAACATTAAAAAAAATACTTCATGAACTGTCTCGTATTAAATTGTAACTAAGAACATTATAAACTTACTTCAGGGCACTTGGATACTTGAGAATTTGGGTCCTACAATCCGTAATTCATCATTCAAGGACGTGAAAATACTCGCCGTGGATGACCAGCGTTTCTCCATACCAATATGGTTAAACATTGTAAGTTTATTTTTTTTTACTGTGGTTAGGCCACGCAACAGTTGCTGTAGCATAAATGGGGTCGTCCGTTCGTGGAAGTAACCTCGACTTCACAAAAGACAAAATGAAGACTTACCAATATTGTTCGGAACCTTCCTGGATGAGTTAGTTATTATGTGAAAATATAACAGCAACAAGTGATAGAGAATAATTGTAAATAAGATTCATTAAATCCTAAACTTAATTTCATTTGTAAGATTTAAAACGTAATTCTATGTTGTAAATGAATTCAAAATACTAAAAAACAATGCTATATGAAATTTAAATAACTTAAAGTAACACGCAACAACTTAAGCTGTTGCATGAATGGGCAGGGTTTATTGGGATAGTACCTAAAGGCAGTCCTCAAGTATTAAACTACTTTTAAAGTATTAAACTTTTGCAATTCGGGTGGTTGAGAGGAAATAAAATTAACAGGAGAAATCACTTACAGATGTTAGAACTATCTCCCGGCTAAAAAATATATAGATGGCGTAGCGGTGCACTTTTACTACGACACTTACAGCTGCATCCTCCTTGAAAGACGTCATGAGAAATTATACTAATATGTTCATCATCTCCACAGAAGCTTCTGAAGGTATAGTGGTTCCACATATAACTAAGTTAAAATACATATGAAACTTCCCACAAGCGGTAAGGTCTAAGTATCAAAATATTAAAAGCAAGTATCAAAAAATTAAATATTTTGGGTTCACGACGTCTTTCTTTGTGTTCAAATAAATCGTGCTACAGATCTAGTTTATATCAATCAATTTTAGCAGAAATCAAATGTTTAATCAGATACAGTATTTAAGCAATAAGATGGTTTCATTAGATATGTTAGCTGATTATTAGCTTTACTAAAATTCTAAGAACAAATAAAACGGGTTTTGTTTTTCTGTTTCTTCTATTTTATGTTGGCGATTACTCTTGGATGCAGGTAGCTAGATATAAAACAGGATAAAATGATTATATTGATGATTACTCTTTATTTGTAACCAGAACGAGTTTCGAGCGATAGTTAAGGTTTGGGTTATAGGCATTTTCATTTTTCTTGTAAAATTTAGTCGCCAAAATTCGTTTTTAATGAACAAGTCATGTTCATTTTTTTTCACTTATTTAATAATACGGAATAGAAATATAGTCAAAACAAGAACAGAGAGCCCCTGTATTACTGTTATTTTTTTCTACAGGTGTTGGGGCAAAAATGCCAGTTCTTCTGGAATCATGGGAAAGAGCAGAGAGTTACATTACTGACATACTAGAAGTAAGTAAAGTTAAATCTAGGATAACCATCATATGCGGTGATAATATGAGTCACTAAGTTGTACCAGGAAAATGGCCTTCATGAATTTTATTTCTTTGTCCGTTAATTCGTTCACTAATTTTGAATAACCTAAATAGTAAATTTAAAAAAAAAATGGTATGACCACACAAATATCATTATTTGCACCTCTAAAACATTAAAATTTTCTAGGATTTATGCAAAGACGTAGTTGGCTTGATCGACTGGAATATGTGCCTCGACATGAGGGGCGGTCCGAACTTGATCGAGGACTACGTAGACTCGCCCATCATCGTAAACGCTGAAAAGCAAGAATTCTACAAGCAACCGATGTTCTACGCGCTGGGTCATTTCAGTAAATTCTTGAAACGCGACTCCCGAAGAATAGAGATTACGAATAAAACTGTTTGTACGATTCTCGATCATCATGATGCTGACAATGGGTTCGTAAAAGAATTTTTGTGTTAAATGTATTGTGTTAATTGATGATAACATAATAAGTTACATAAATGATATCCAAAGTAGGTATTGAAAAGGTCGTTAAATTTTCTAAAAGACATTTCATATTACTTTCTACAAGTTAATGTTCATAGATCAGATCAACGCGCCTATTCAGCATACAGACAAAATTTTACTGTGTACACAAAACTTCACAAGATTTTTTATATGAGAAATAAGCATTGATTTCTGCTGCCTTTGCGCACGAGAAGCCGTAACCACAGAGCGGTGCGGTGCTTTACGCGAAACTCGAGTGTTCTTCAAAAAAAGTTAAACAAAAACAGTAATAGATGGCGCATAGCTCAATAAACACGGAGATAGTAAACTGAGCAATTATATTTGTAAAAATATAACTTTATAATTCGTGCCTTTCAGCGTTCTGGCACATGTGTATGGAACGATAGGATATGCAAAGCTATTTTGTATGTATTCTGTCTACACGCGCATGTAAATAGCATACGCCGGATACTCGCATGGTTGTTTTAAATATTTCAGAATTTGATTGAATTTTGTGCGGTTTGTATATTTACATTTATTTTATTAGTTGATTATTTAATTGTTTTCAAGTAACTTATCAAGATCTTTTTAAAATTTATCCTTATGCTAGATTGGAATTATATTAGGTTGGGGAAAAACTCTTTTCGCAAATAGTATGTATGAACTTATAACATAATCTCTATGGCTATACCATTTGTATCTGGCTGGTTTTGGTATTATTAAAAAGTTTAAGTTTTAAAAAAGATAATTCCAAATACAATTAGGAAAATGTGTGATTTTAATTTGTTTTTCTTACTGTTAAGATGAGTGATTTTAACGAAGAAAATGAAATCGAATCATTTTAAAATTTTACTACAAAAAAGGCAACTCAAGCCGCGAAATAAATTTGTGATGTTTATGGACCTAGTGCAGTGTCTGTGAGAGTAGCACAAATTTGGTTTAACCGTTTTCAATCCGGAAATTTTGATGTCAAAGATGCACCTCGGTGCATCTTTGAGTCGAGAGCGAGCTCTGGGCGCCCTGTTGAGGATAAAATGGATGCCATTTTTGAAAAAGTGGAGCAAGATCGGCATATCAGTAGTTACGATGTAGCTGAAGAACTGGGAACTGACCACAAAACAGTTTTGGCGCATTTGAAAAAAAGCTGGGTATTATGTACCCAGCTTTTTTTCAAATGCGCCAAAAGCTCGATATTTGGGTGCCTCATGAGCTCACTGAAAGAAACCTAATGAACCATGTACTCATTAGTGATTCTTTATTACGACGTAATGAAACCGAAACATTTTTGAAAAACATGATAACTGGTGATGAAAAGTGGATCACGTACAACAAGAACGTGCGAAAAAGGTCGTGGTCAAAGGTTGGTCAGGCTCCACAGACTCTGGCGAAACCCGGGTTATCGTAATATACGAGTATATACGCAACTAGGTAATGCTGTGTGTATGGTGGGATTGGAAGGGAATTATTTATTATGAGCTGTTACCGCCAGGCATGACCATCGATTCTGAACTCTACTGCGAAGAACTGATAAGATTAAAGCAAGAAGTTGAGAGAAAGCGGCCGGAATTAATCAACAGAAGGGGTGTGATTTTTCATCATGATAACGCTAGATCTCACACATCTTTAGCCACTCAGCAAAAATTAAGACAGATTGGCTGGGAGGTGTTAATGCATCCGCCGTATACTCCTGACCTTGCACATTCAGATTTCCACTTGTTTCGGTCTATTCAAAATTCTTTAGGCAGTGTCAGGTTAACATCACGAGAGGACTGCAAAAACCACTGTCGCGATTTTTTGATCAGAAGCCCCAGAATTTCTATAGCAATGGGATCATGTCCCTACCTACAAGATGGCAGAAAGTTATCGAACAAAATGGCACCTACATACTTTAGATAAATGTAAATAAACTTTATTAAAAATGTTTTGAATTTTCATATAAAATGAGAAGAAACTTTTCCCCAGCCTATTATAAACAAATAATTTTTACAATAACTTTTATTGTATCGCATTATAAAAACTTGACAAAATATTTATTCAGATATCCTATTTCTTGGTGTATGTAAAATTTCTCCTTTATAAAGTTTCCGCTTCCTTTTAACAGAGAAAAAATAGATGAATATAATCCCGATTGGAACACAGCGTCGTATGACAGTGTCGCCTTCCAGACCCCAAATAACACCATTGTTCTCATCATCCACAACAGGTGATGTGTCATGTTTTCGATGATTTATTACATAAATACCAATATTTAATTTAATAATTAATTTACGGTTTTTATCGCAATTTATTTTTATTTCAAACTACGTTTAAAACAGTTCACAGTATTCATGGCCTCGGATTGTCGCTGTTAACCTATTCCGACTTACTCGTTATATTGGGAATCAAACATTTTAATAATTAAACCTTGATAGCTCAGTGTCCGGGCACTCGCATTTAAATTAATATACTCGAGCAACTTGAGTTCGATCCCCGGATTTCAAGTGCTGAATTATCACGTGCTCAGCGGTGAAGGAAAAAAACGTGAAAAAAATATTTCGAAGATATGTGAAGTCCGACAAACCGCAAAGGCGCCGCGTGGTGCACTATGCCTTCTGTACAGAGGAGGCCTTTGCTCAGCAGTGTGACATTTATAGGCTGATACTAGCTACAAAATTATTATTTTCATTTCGATCCACGCATTCAGTATGATGGTGATCTCGAAACTGGATTTAATTTTATTGGTAACAGGATTCCGAACCGATGGATTCGTACTTAATCACCCTCTCTATTCAAATGTTCAACAGCCTCGACATATCTTTGATTGGTGATGATTTGTGAGTTATCAAATCTAATAACGGATGATTTATAGGTTATCAATATCTGGCTGCAACGGTTGATAAAATCCATAATTTTTATAATGAACATTCCCGAAAACAAAAGTTACCATCATACTCACTCATCCAATAGTCAAGTTAGTGGTACCACTAGGCGATTGTTGTTAGCGACACCACTGTTAGATGATTCCTATCATAAAATTAAAAAATAAAACTTGAATGTCGAACAGCTTTAGGCGACGATTTGCTTGTGTAAGCAAATACGAGGCTTGGTGGAGTTATTTTTGTTTTGATGCTTTAATGATAATTTTATATTAAGCGTTAATAAAACTACTATTTAATACACAAACGTCGTAGTTGCTTGTTGCACATTTTGTTAACATGACGGGTTATTTTATCGTCATTCCTAATTTTTTTATATATAATGTATATCTTTTTTCAGAGGTACTGAGAAATCTGTGGCGATTAAGTATGGTAATAAACACGCAACCCTGCAACTAGAAGCAGCTTCTATAACTACTGTCGAATTCCCTGCAGAAATTGAATAAGTGTTTTAAATTTACATGTTTCTAACGTTTTTAATAAAATATCTTTCGTTTTTAAATGTATTTTTCTTTAAATTTTCCTATAAGTATATTCATAATCCACCTTTACTATAAATATATTCATCCGATTAAGGTGGGATTTATAATAAGATTTAATATAATATATTCTTTAATATAATAATACACTCCTTAAATAAGTCATATACTGATTTTAAAATTTCTTGGTAAGTATTTATTGCAAATAGTAATCAATTATTATTTTTCTCCAGCCTCATTTCTGGCACTAAATTGTTTCGACACCCTTTACTCCAAGCAAAAAGCCTAAAATGCAATAGAACTAACGTAGATAAATGACAGGATTTTTACGCCGTGATTTCATCGGCTGCTTAGCTTAGTTAGTAAACCCTCTGAGCGGGGAGAAGACGACGGTTCGAATCCCGCAGCGCCAAAATTTTTGTTTATTTAACTTATTTTCTGAACAACTTCTTTGTTTTCTTCTCCACATAATAACTGTAAAAATATTTGACAATATTGCGTTTATCTATAAATTATTGCGTATATGGATATTATTTTTGTTCTCGATGTTATCACAAAATGGTAACATTAAAAACAGACTATGGAGTATGTATTACGCTTTTGTTCTCGTGTGGAATATTCTTTGACGTTTTTAACCTTGAGGCTCGATAGTTCATAACGAATATACATTCTCGACAATTCAGTGGATGTAAGTAATTGAACTCCTCAATTACACCTCTAACCTAAAACTTTAAACGTACTATATGTATATTGTAATGCAAGAGACAGAGATAGCTACAGGTTTTAATAGAATACATATTCTGCATCAAACAATCATTAACTCTTTAAAGTTATTTATGTTTTATTGAAAATTGAAAGATATAGAGTAGATAGATTAGTTGATAAAGCCTGAAAGTAACAATAATGATGAATGAAAGGAAAATTTTTCGTAAATCCTAACCAAAGTGGGAAAAAGGTTGGAGAAAAGTCAGCACTTAGTACAAAAATTATTGAAAAATCTACGGATGAAACAGGTGAATATGACAATGCTACAAAAAATAATAGAACTGGAAGACAGTCAATTGGGCCTTAATCCTAATTTCTTCAACTACGTCTTGATCCAAAAGTAACTGTCCCTGAGTTAGATTACTCGTTGTATTTACTCTTAGAATAACTTGTTATTCAATTTAAAATTATTTAAAGAGAAAAAATTTGCGCTAAATAACGCTACAGTGTAAAGTGAAGTTATAATATTCAATTTTTAATAATAGATTGCATGTTACTGGTTTAATATGAAATGCTTCACGTCGTAGTTGAAAAAATAAAACATTTCTTTCTTTCCCTCTTATACCTCTTACTTTTTTTTTACTTTTATACTTTTTGGACTTCAAATATAAATAGCATATTCACCTTCATTCGTTATCAATAAAAGCGATAGCTTTTATTGTCCTAATATACAGTTCTTTTCAATTCTGATAAAATTTTCCCATTCGTGCTACTTCTGTCATATGACGCCATAGGTCACCATATATTTAAACGCTTTTTCAACGTAAAGTTCAGTATTTAACTTTATTACACCCCGTAGAATTTAATATAACAGTCGGCACAGAAGGCACAGTAGTTTGTAGCTAAATAGATTTGTAATTTCTGAGTAGTAATAAATAATTTGACTTACCTTATTAATTAATTTAAACTTTAAATAATTTTTAATTTAATAATACCTTGTTAAGGGCTTTACTTAATTGTCATGTTGGAAATTTCATATTCATTCAGACTTCGGGATTCGTTTAAAAAATGTTGTAATTTTTAGCACTCCGATTAGAGGGCCGGACATCGGCCCGATTGGTAACTGTAACTGTGTTAACGGGGAAAAACCTGCCAGGTACGTGGCGGAATCTAGCATTTATGCTTGCCGCACTCGCCAGTGCGGCGAGGGCGGTGTGTTTTCGTATGTTTGCGTAATTGCTTTATCGTAGCGGCACCTACGACTAACGGAGTGGAACATTGTAATAGGGTTTTCTTACATAAAATGTCGGTCATGGTATAACTGGTTACCAACTACTCGGCTCGCTTAATTTCTCAGCCTTACTCTGAGATCTCTCTTTCTTATTTTTCAATAACGGTTGTGGCGTGGAAGGTTTCGCAAAAATATAGAGTATATAGGGGATGAGAGAATTTTTAGCCCTGTGTGGGGGGGAATGACGCCATTGTATTTAGTTTGCAAACTGTGCAGTCCGCGTAGTTATTTTGTATGTAAATTTTTATTTTTATTTTATTTTATTTTATTTTATTTTATTTTATTTCAAACAAAATCATAAGGTTTACTAAAAACAACATAAGGTTTACTAAATTCTAAAAAGAAGTTGATAAATACAAGTCATACTGACGATCTTCTAAGTTCGTTGACTTCAGGCATAATTGACATGAAATTATACACTGAACGTGTTTTAGAGATATTAACCAATTGTAATAAACTTAATTTATTCCATGAGTGTTTTTTTTAAATAATTTGATTGTTAATTGACAGTAAACGCGTATTCATTCTTAATATATTTATATCAAATGTTTTTTCAGCAATGACAATTTTAGTAACAATGAAAGGTCTTTTTTTTGAAGTAGCCACGCCCTTTCAAAACATCTTAACGCGTCACTACTATAAAGATTTTACAAAACATTTTTTTTATTTAACAGGTGTATTTATGTAATAAGAATTATTTATTAATTAAATAGATCAAGATAAAAAAATATTGCATATAGCAGCCTTATAAGAATGGCAAAACTTATTTCACCATACTTTTGTTATGGTAAAAGTGTTTAAAAATTGCTTAATAGATGATATACTTTTTTGCACATGTACAACGTGACGGTGTGTAGAGGGCATCCCTTATTTGGTGTTTAATTAACCGGGTTACCTATCGGTTTTAATTTATCGCCGCACTTATTTTGGTAAAGATAACAATTAATTGCAAATATTCTTATTTATTTATTTATTTATTTATCACCAACAAAGTACATACCGTAACAGAATAAATAAACAAGGTTTACAAAAAAAATTATGAGTGGTACCTTAATTATAGGTAAAAACAACTTTTTACAGATAGTAGAGATACGACCAAAAAAATTGTTAAAAAACTAAAGGTGAAATACGACCATTATTATGTTGCGGATAAATCCTAAATGCGGATGTTGTCTTTGATAGAATACCTATGAACGGTATACCTATTCCAGATGCTCTATTTAACGGGTAAGAATTTAATGGCTTTATCTATACCCCTATTTGTATGACCAATTTCTTTCGCAAATATATATCCTGAATAATGATATATAGATAACGAATTATGGCAATATAAAAACCTAAACGTTTCCAAGTTTTATCAAAGTTATATGTCCCAAAAACAGAATCCAAAATTGACAGTTAATTTTCCACGTCCACGTAAGTGACTGGGTTCATAAAAAAATGCCATAAAATTTTAATTTCTTGCTACAAAGTACGTTAACAATTTGCTTTTATTTCTAGGTTGAAATAAAATTTATACAAATATCTATGATAAGTATGATTGTTAGACACATCCTTATCGCACATGGAAATAAAACGTTTAACTAAACATAAGGAGATAGCTGTACAAAAAAAAATATTGTTCTTAAACTAGTTATGTCTCATGTGTTATCTTTTGAATATTTTACCGAATAGCCCGAATTGCGACACTGCTGTTGACGCAAAAATTATTAAAACATGGTATTATGACTGTTTCAATTCATTAGTTTTTTGGGTTCCGTGCCCAAAGGGTAATCGGGAACCATATTACTAAGACTTCGCTGTCTGTCTGTCC